GAAATACAAATCAAAACCACAATGAGATACCACCTCACACCAGTGAGAATGGGGAAAATTAATAAGGCAGGAAACAACAAATGTTGGAGAGGATGTGGAGAAAAGGGAACCCTCTTACACTGTTGGTGGGAATGTGAACTGGTGCAGCCACTCTGGAAAACTGTGTGGAGGTTCCTCAAAGAATTAAAAATAGACCTGCCCTACGACCCAGCAATTGCACTGTTAGGGATTTACCCCGAAGATTCAGATGCAATGAAACGCCGGGGCACCTGCACCCCGATGTTTCTAGCAGCCATGTCCACAATAGCCAAACTGTGGAAGGAGCCTCGGTGCCCATCGAAAGATGAATGGATAAAGAAGATGTGGTTTATGTATACAATGGAATATTACTCAGCCATTAGAAACAACAAATACCCACCATTTGCTTCAACGTGGATGGAACTGGAGGGTATTATGCTGAGTGAAGTAAATCAATCGGAGAAGGACAAACAGTGTATGTTCTCACTCATTTGGGGAATATGAATAATAGTGAAGGGGAATATAAGGGAAGGGAGAAGAAATGTGTGGGAGATATCAGAAAGGGACACAGAACATAAAGACTTCTAACTCTGGGAAATGAACTAGGGGTGGTGGAAGGGGAGGAGGGCGGGGGGTGGGGGTGAATGGGTGACAGGCACAGAGGGGGACACTTGACGGGATGAACACTGGGTGTTATTCTGTATGTTGGTAAATTGAACACCAATAAAAATTAATTTATAAAAAAATAAAAAAAAAATAAAACACCTTTAATAGAGCCTTGAATTAAAAAAAAAAAAAAGAAAACAGGAGAAAGCACAGATATTTTAAGTTGGCACTACAGTTTGCTGTGTTTCCCAGACTCCACAAAGAAACACAGCTATTGCTGCTGACTGCATGAAATGATTGTTCATTAAGTATGTAAAGAAATCTTTAGCTACTCTTAGGGGATTTTTATGGCCTTTAGGCCCTGCTCCCTGCTCTGGAGACAACAAAACAACCCTGGCATATTTCTGAGTACAGCCTATACTGCTAAAACACATTTCTGAAACATCAGTGATATCATATGCAATTGGGAAATAAAGGAATGATTAGTAGTATTAAATAGACATTGCTAGAAATAGTTCACATGATTTTTCCTAGTACAAGAATGAGAATAGCAGTAGTATTATAGCTTTCAACAAGAGGAAAAACTTTGCTGGTACATAGGCAGTTGCCCTTTCAGCTCTATTTTAAGAAAATTTAAAATGAGAGGCTGCACCCAGGGCTCCCTCCTAGACCCCCAGCATTAGACAGACTCCAGGCTGGAGGCAAGTTGCACTTGGTCCCTTGCCTGTTTTAACCTCATCTTCTCTGGCCTGGAGTTCCGTTTCCATCTTCATAGTCTTGGCATTCTCAAGCTAACATTTCTGCTCTGTGGTCTGTATTTGTAATATCCCTTGAGGCAACCTATAGATATACTAGAGCTGTCTAACTTAACTCTTGAGGGACCAGTTCTCTGATTACAAGATGCATCTATTGTAATGTAGTCTTGTTTCTAACACTGCTTTTCTCCCAAGCTCTGTTATTTTCACCTGTGTGGTTTTGCAAAATACAGAGTTTTCAGGAATATTATGCTTTGGCTGATACTTACTGTGAGACCAAGCGAACTCGAGGTCAATATTGCATGAGTCCCTAGCTTTCACTAGTACTCATCTGTAAATTTAGAAAAACAATGAGATAAATGTATACTTGTCAATCAAGAAGGAATTCACCGAAAGTTTAAGCAAACAGGTGTTATTTGGGCAATTCAAATTGCAGTCTAGGAGATACAGTTTCAGGTAGATAACCTGAATTGTGTTCTGAGGAAGAATAAGAGGAGGCAGAGTTGTAAAGGTGAAAGGTCATGAGTACCATTCTCTTTTAGGTCTCTATGCAAAACAGGAATTGAAACTAAATTAACTGGGATGGGTTGAGTTAATTTAATATGCAAATGAAGTATTGAAACTTGCCAAAGTACAAATCTCATTGACTCCTTTTGAAGTATAGAATGTGAACAATTTAGGTGTCATGATGAGGAGGAAGTTCAGTCCAGGCTGAGGGCCACACAGCTGGCTGAAAAGTTTTTAAATTTAGTTTCTTACAGTGAGGATGTGCATAAAATCCTCCTCCCTTATGGCCTCCTTTTTTTTTTTTAAGATTTTATTATTTTTAAAAGATTTTATTTATTCATGAGAGAGAGAGAGAAACAGAGACACAGGCAGAGGGAGAAGCAGGCTCCCTGCAGGGAACCTGATGTGGGACTCATCCCAATCGTCTCCAGGATCATGCCCTGGGCTAAGGGCAGGCACTATTATTTTGAGTGAGAGAAAGAGAGACATAGAGCATGAGTGGAGTGAGGGGCAGAGAGAGAGGAAGCTGACTCCCCACTAAGCAGGGTGCCCGATGTGGGGCCCAGTCTCAGGACCCTGGGATCATGACCTGAGCTGAAGGCTCAACTGACTGAGCCACCCAGGCGCTCCCCCACCTTATGGCCTCTTAACTATTTTAAGAGACTCTTAGCGAGGTTTGCTTGCTCCATTTTAAAATCTTGTTTTATAGTGTAAAGTGCTTAAAAGAGTTCTTCACAGAGAATATTCTCAATAAATACAATTATCATCATCACCAGGTTGCTAATATAAGTTGATTATTTCATTATTAAATGAAGATATGTTTTTATTCATCTAACTTTTCCCAGAGTGACTATAACTCGTACATGCAGTTATATATTTAGGTTACTGTACTGAGCTAAGATGTTATATATATCCATAGCATAATATTTATTAATCAGACTTGAAAACAGTTCATTGATAAGTTAAACATTTTCACCTTAGGGAGAGTTTAACATTTAAATTCAGATATATCTGTTTACTTGTATTCCCATTAGAGAATATACTGGCTTTTCTATGTCCTGCTTGTATTGTATTGAACATAGATAATATGTTCCTGGCACTACCTTTGGCAAAACTGTAAAGTATATGAAATTGGTAAATAGGTGGGAAGTCAAGTGGAAAATGGATTGTGAGGTCTTCATATCTATTGGATGAGAGAGATTGACTTTTTACCTAAAACAAATTCTACTTATTAATATTATTTTTGGCATATACTCACCAGAGAGCAGAAAAAAGCAATTGAGTGAAGATCAAGGACAGTACTTATGACTGGAGTAGATAATTGTAGGGTAATAGTAAGAGATGAGGTAAGAAAGGAGTCAGGAGGAATATCGGGTTGTGACTACTGGCATTGAGCTGTTCAAATGCTAACCTACAGCGATTAGATTTAGTTAACAGAGCAGTGGGAAGCCATTGTTTTTTTTGTTTTTATTTACGATAGTCATACAGAAAGAGAGAGGTAGTGACACAGGCAGAGGGAGAAGCAGGCTCCCTGCACTGGGAGCCTGACGTGGGATTTGATCCCGGGTCTCCAGGATCGCACCCTGGGCCAAAGGCAGGCGCCAAACCGCTGCGCCACCCAGGGATCCCGGTTTTTTGTTTTTTTAAGATTTATTTGAGAGACTGAGAGAGACAAAAGAACAGAGGACTAACTAGGGGAGGGGCAAAAGAAGAGGGAGAGAAGCAAACTCCCTCCTGAGCACAGAGCCCTGTGTGTGTGTGTGTGGGGGGGGATCAATCTCAAGATCCTGAGATCAAGACCTGAGCCATAACCAAGTCCAACATTTAAGCAATTGAGCCACCCACGCGCCCCACCATTGATTGCTTCTTTAGTAGGCAAATGACATGATGGAATAATGCTTTTCTTTTCTTTCTTTTTTCTTTTCCTTTTCCTTTTTCTTTTTCTTTTTCTTTTCTTTCTTCTCCATGCCCCAGTGTGGAGCTCAACTCAGGGCTTGGACTCATAACCCTGAGATCAAGACTTGAGCTGAGATCAAGAGTTCAAAGCTCAACTGACTGAGCCACCCAAGTACCCTGGAATATTGCTGTTCTATTTTAGATACAGCAGGTCAAGCTCATTAATGAGTCATAGAATGATTTAATGGATCAGAGTTGCACAGGAAACTGATAGGCATACTTAAATTTAATGTGATTAATTTGAAGTGGGATTTAATAAGAGACTACTTTTTTCTAAAGGCATGATAGGTGGGGGGAGGAATGTTAAGTACAGCCTTACTTAAAAGATATTTGGAAAAGGAAAATGGTTTGCTACCAGGTAGAAACACTCATACATAGGTTTCTAGGCAAATAAACTTTCTCAGTTTTCCGGTAGCCTCCTTAAACAGTGGTCTCTTGGGTTTCCATGCCCTGTTGACTGGCCCAGGCATCACTGTATTTGTTCTTTGACACAAATGGAATATGAAAAGGGAAGGACCATACCATCTAGTTCTTGCTGCTACTGTGCCCAAATTGCCCTGACCATTGCTCTTTGTTCCCTTTTCTTATAGCCTCCAAGCTCAGAGCACCTTGGAAGTTACTTTCATCATTTGCTGTACTTCTTTCCTATTTTTCTTTTTTACAAGTGTTGGGGAGTGGTTAGAACTTTCTTCTTCAGTCTGATCCCTTTTGTTTTCAGCGATTTCTAATCTGTGGTCTGTTGAGGGGACATTCTTGTTTTCTAGTGATAATATGGCTTATAAAATTAAATTTAAAAAAGTTATATGTAAAATGACATAAAGCTGTTGGAGGGTTAGGGGTGCCTGGGTGGCTCAGTCGGTTAAGTGTCTGACTCTTGATTTCGGCTTGAGTCATAATCTTGGGTCATGGGATCGAGTCCTGAGTTGCCTCTCTGCTCATCGAGGAGTCTGCTTGAGATTCTCTGCACTACCTCTCCCTCTACCTATTTCCCTACCCCACCCCCAGCTTGTGTGCATGCATGTACTCTCTCACATAAATAAATCTTAAAAAATTGATTTAAAGATGTTGGAGGGTAGATGAATCATTGGCTCAGTTTGTTGTCTTAATCTAGTGTCTAGGAAAGTATTTTGTATTATCTTGATTTTTTTTCCCCTTTAGATTACAGGATCTTATCGGTCAAAAAAAGGCAGAGGACCCAGAGAAACCAGATGAACCCAACAGAGATAACCAGCAGCAGGCCCTAATTGACCAGAGATACTTTCAGGTATTGAACAGCTGACAAAGAGACTGGTATCTGTAGTGAACCTTGATTTCTTTCTTTCTTTCTTTCTTTTTTTAAGTTTTTATTTAATTCCAGTTAGTTAACATACAGTATTAGTTTACGGTATATAATATATTGATTCAACACTCCCACGCAATCAGTACCCAGTGCTCATCACAATAAGTGCACTCCTTAATCCCCATCACCTATTTCACCTATCCTTCTGCCAACATCCATTCTGATAAACATCAATTTGTTCTCTATAGTTTTTTCCCTTTGCTTGTTTTCTTTTTCTTTAACTTTAAAAATTTTTACATTTTTAAGTAATCTCTACACCCAGTATGGGGCTTGAATTTTGCAATCCCAAAATCAAGAGCCACATGCTCCACTGACTGAGCCAGCCAGGTGCCCCTGTTTGTTTCTTAAATTCCACATGTGAGTGAAAGAAATCATGTGGTGTTCCTCTTTCTCTGACTGACTTATTTCACTTAGCATAATACTTTCTAGCTCCATTCATGTCATTGCAATTGGCAAAATTTCATTCTTTTTATGGTTGAGTAATACTCCATTGTGTGTGTGTGTGTGTATACATATATACATACATACACACCTACACATCTTCTTTATCCATTCAATTGATGGGCACACAGGCTGTTTCCATAATTTGGATATTGTAGATAATGCTGCTATAAACATCAGGTTGTGTGTATCCCTTTGAATGAGTATTTTTGTATTCTTTGGGTTACTGTGTAGTAGTACAATCATTAGATCCTAGGGTGGTTCTGTTTTTAACTTTTTGAGAGACCTCTATACTATTTTCCAGAGTGGCTGTACCAATTTGCATTCCCACCAACAGTGTAGGAGGGTTTTTTTTCCCTCCATATCTCACCTACATATTTTGTTTCTTGTGTTGTTGATTTTAGCCATTCTGACAGGTGTGAGTTGATATCTTGTAGTTTTGATTTGCATTTCCCTGATGGTAAGTGATGTTGAGCATCTTTTCATGGGTCTGTGCTAGCCATCTGTATGTCTTCTTTTTTTTTAATTAATTTATTTATGATAGTCACAGAGAGAGAGAGAGAGAGAGAGAGAGAGAGAGAGGCAGAGACATAGGCAGAGGGAGAAGCAGGCTCCATGCACCGGGAGCCCGATGTGGGATTCGATCCCGGGTCTCCAGGATCGCGCCCTGGGCCAAAGGCAGGCGCTAAACCGCTGCGCCACCCAGGGATCCCATCTGTATGTCTTCTTGGAAAAAACATCTATTCATGCCTTCTGCCCCCCTCCTCTCCTTTTATTTATTTTTTTAAAGAAAGGCAGACTATCATTTGCAGGGTCTCATTTGGATGTGGTCTAGAGTCTTGAAAGCTTGACTGCTGAACATTCTCCTAAATGGACCTTGAGAACTTGTTTGGAGGTTCTAGTAGGGAAGCACAGCTACTTGTATACCCTTGACTGAAGAACAGCCCTCCTCTATTGGGGAAGGTTGTCCTCTTTGAACCTACAGCTTTGAGAGGGATGCACATAGAGTGAAGGAGGAGGGGACACTTGCCTAGCCAACCAGATCAGTAGAGTCAACCCTGGTGATCAGTGGGGTGATAGATATTGGAGCCAGTTGCCCCCACACCCTGCCCATTTTAAATTAAGTTGGTTTTTGGGTGTTGAATTGTATAAGGTCTTTCTATATTTTGGACATGTCCCTTTATCGGATATGTCATTTGCAAATATCTTCTCCCATTCTGTAGGTTGCCTCCTAGTTTTGTTGATTATTTCCTTCATTGTGCAGAAGCTTTTTATTTTGATGTAGTAGTCCCAATAGTTTATTTTTGCTTTAGTTTTCCTTGCCTCAGGAGACATATCTAGGAAAAAGTTGCTACAGCTGATGTCAAAGAAGTTACTGCCTGTGTTCTCTTCTAGGATTTTTATCGTTTCAGGTCTCATATTTAGATCTTTAATCCATTTTGAATTTATTTTTGTGTGTGGCATAAAAAAGTCTTCCAGTTTTATTCTTCTGCATGTTGCTGTCCATTTTTCCCAGCACCAGTTGTTAAAGAGAACTTTTTCCTATTGGATATTTAGAGGGAAAATACCTCAACATAATAAAGGCCATATATGAAAAACCCACAGCTAATACCGTAGATGGGGGAAAACTGAGAGGTGTTCTTCCAGTCAGGAATAAGACAGGGGTGTCCACTCTTACCACTTTTATTTAACATAGTACTAGAAGTCCTAGCCACAGTAGTCAGACAACAAAAATAAAAAAAGGCATCCAGATCAGCAAGGGTCATTTCTCTTTTCTTTTTGATAAGCCTGGCTAGAGATTTACCAATTTTGATCTTTTCAAAGAACCAACTTCTGGTTTCATTGACCTGTGCTATTGTTTTTTTAGTTTCTATATCATGTATTTCTTCTCTAATCTTTGTTATTTCCTTCCTTTTGCTGGCTTTAGGCTACATTTGTTCTTTTTCTGTCTCCTTTACATGTAAAGTTAGGTTGTTTGAGTTTTTCTTGCTTCTTGAGGTAAGCCTGTATTGTTGTATACCTCCCTCTTAGAATCACTTTTGCTGCATCCCAAAGGTTTTGAACCATCGGGTTTTCATTTTCATTTATTTCCATGTATTTTAAAAAATTTCTTCTTTTATTTCCTGGTTGACCCATTCATTGTTTAGTAGCATTTTGTTTAATCTCCATGTGTTTGTGTTTTCCAGATTTTTTTCTTGTGGTTGACTTTTGTTTCATAACATTGTCAGAAAGGGTGCATTTTTTTTTTTAAAGATTTTATTTATTTATTCAGGAAGAGAGAGAGAGAGAGAGAGAGGCAGAGAGGCAGAGGGAGAAGCAGGCTCCATGCAGGGAGTCTGGCATGGGACTCAATCCTGGATCCCAGGATCATGACCTGAGTCAAAGGCAGATACTCAACCATGAGCCACCCAGGAATCCCCTGAAAAGGTGCATGTTATGATTTCAGTCTTTTTGTTTTTGTTGAGGCCTGTCTTGTGACCTAAAATATATGATCTATTCTGGAGAATGTTCATGTGCACTTGAAAAGAATGTGTATTCTGCTGTTTTGGGGTAGAATGTTTTGAATAGATCTGTTAAGTCCATCTGGTCCAGTGTATCATTCAGAGCCCACCCCCCCCCCTTTTTTTTTTTTTAATTCAGAGCCTTTCTTTTCTTATTTTCTGTTTAGGTGATCTGTCTACTGGAGTGTTCAAATACTCTACTATATTGTATTTGAACCTTGGTTTCCATCTCGGTTTAATAAATTATCAGGTGGTAGAAAAATATAAGGAATATTTGTATTTGTGTGTGCTTATCCTATCTTACCAGGACATATCTTCTTGGCTAAAAACATTATAGGTAGCTTTACTTAGAATTTGTCTTAGTTTTTGAAAGACTTTGGCTTAATTCAAAGCAGGGTAGTAAAAAGCAGTAATATTTTTAAGATTTTGGGGCCCTTGAGTGGCTCAATCCATTAAGCATCTGCCTTTGGCCCAGATCAAGCCCCCAAGTCAGGCTCTCTGCTCAGTGGGGAGTCTGCTTCTCCCTCTCCTTCTGCCCCTCCCCCATGCTCGTGCATTCTCTCTCAAATAAATAAAATATTAAAAAAAATTTTTTTAAGATTTTATAATCCTTTTTCCTATTCTCTTCCCTTAAATTGTTTCTCTTTTTATTGTTTGTGTTGTTGTCATTGGTCTAATTATTATTGTTGCTTTTATTATTATATATGTAAATCTATTTTCTTAGGATCCTTACATGGTTTTGTTTTTATTTAGATATTTAGTCCATCTGAACCTTAATTTTCTATGTGGCGTCATGTAGAGATCTAACCTAACTGGTTTTATAGGCCATTCGTTGAATAGATGAGTGATTAAGCCTGGCTATTTACTGATTGAACTAGGTTTATGCTCATATTTTATTGGACCCACACAGGGTTTTTTAAACTTTGAATTAATTACTAATATTTAAAAATTAAGATATTTTATTTAAGTTCTTATTTCTATTTAAGTTCTTATTTAAGTTCTTTTTAAAAGCCGGAATCTGGCAACAAATTCCTGCATAGTCATTATCAGGACAGAATTATGCCTTTCCCCTGTCATATATGGGCATGTGTTCTTCAGTTAGCTACAGGCCCTGGCCATCCTTGCTTTACTCAGTTATGGATGGTCTTATCTTGCTTCTAGAGGCATTTGAGTTTGCAGTTTCTCATAGACCATTGTTTCTCTACTTTATTGTAACGAAACCTCTATCGTATCCACTCACATGCATAGGTATGTTTCTAGACTCTCTAATCTGTTTCATTTTTACACTATTTCCATTATCTTTTAATTTCTGTAATTTTATAGTAGGTTTTGATACCTTTTAGGGTAAGAATCTTGTCATTGTTCTTTTAAAATTTTTCCTTTGCTATATTTTTAGCACATTTATTCTTCTGGATGAACAATTTGTCAAATTCAAAAAAAGATCCTATTGAGATGAACTATAATTGGATTAACTTTTTAGATTAATATTTGGAAAGGTGATACTTTTATAGTTTGAATCATCTCATTTAGAAACATGTCTCTGATTTTATGTGGGCCTTACTTGATAGCCTTGAATAAAGTCTTATACATTTTTAAATTTAGCTTTTGAGTATTTTTTGTTAGGTTTACTTCCTAGGTGTTTTATAACTTTTATTGCTATTGAAAATGGCATCCTTTTTTCCCCATTACATTTTCTAATTGATTGTTGCTGCTTCTTCATAAATCTCTGAGTTGATTTTATTTCCAGGCACTTTTCTGAAAACTGATTTTTTTGTTTTGATAACTCTTGTACCCAGCATATAACTGAATTTTTTAAATTTCCTTTTGTTTCTTAGATTCAGTTTGAGAGGCTTTGTCCTTTAACAGAGGGATTAAACGATTCATGGATACTGAGACCAACTCATATATCTGCTTTTATTCCTGACATCTTTCTGTTTTCTGTATATGGTTTTGGTTCCATTCTTTTCTTTTCCTTACATTTGCTAGGTTGAGATTTGTCTTTTTTCTCTTCAAGTACTTAGGACATTTGTCATCTTAATTCTTTTCTATTTGTCTAATGATTACTCTTAAGATACAGTTTTTATCCATAGCAAAAATTTATCAGGTATCTACAAACTGTTTCTGAATAAGGTCTATTTTTGAGGTTTTAAAAAAATTCCCATCTCTCTGGTTATTGTCATTTTACTGTTTCATCATTGTTAATATATACTTTTCTGCAATCATCTGATTGTGGTCAAGTCATAAGAATATGCTCTGCTGTCAGTAATAATCCTGTGGAAGGGAATTAATTTTTCCATTAAAATGGACTTAAATACAAGAGAAGAAAATGTAATACTCTCTTGAAACTCTCAAATGAAATACTCTCTTGAACTAAAAACAAAACAAAACAAAAGTACCTCAGTGAACATGAACATCTGAAGTCTTAATACCAGGAAACCTATGAGTTTATAGCTTGGAGTATGAGTAGGGACAAAGATTTGAGATCAAGAGTATCTTGTTTTTATACTTATATAGCTATTTATTATATGCTCTGGGCTTGATGGTGGTAAATAAGGAAACGGCTTTATTCTTCTTTGTTTTAAACTTGCTGTTTTGGGTCTTCCCTTCCTTTCCTTGGATGATATGTAAGGTAGAACTCATAGCTTTTGGCAGAGTGCTATAGTCACATATTAAGATATTTAAAATTCACTCAGGCATTAATGATGTTAGGGAACTACTGTTACATTTCTTTTTTTTTTTTTTAAGATTTTATTTATTTATTCATGAGAGACACAGAGAGAGAGAGGCAGAGACATAGGCAGAGGGAGAAGCAGGCTCCCCTTAGGGAGCCTGATGTGGGACTCAATCCCCAGACTCTGGGATCACACCCTGAACCAAAGGCAGACACTCAACTGCTGAGCCACCCAGGTGTCCCATGTTAAATTTCTTCTGTATGATAATGGTTTTAGGATTTAAATAGGAGAATGTGCCTACTTCTAAGAGAAACATACTTACCCTTAAGTATTTGAGGGTAAAGTTTTATCATGTCTGTATTTTCTTTAGGAGTTTCAGCTAAGTGAGCAAATATAAGATAGTGTTAACAATTGTTGAATCTAGGTAGTGATTATGTGGGTATTTATGATGGTTCATTTTATGTATCAACTTGACTGGGCCATAGGTTTCCCAGATATTTGGTCAAATGTTATTCTGAATATGTCTGTGAGGATGTTTATGGATGAGATTAACATTTGATTTTGCAGACTGGGTAAAGCAGATTGCCTTCCCTAATGTGAATGAGTCTCATTCAGTCATTTGAAGGCCTGACTAAAACAAAAAGGCTGAATAAAAGGGAGTTCCACTTGCGTGACTACCTTTGAGCTGGGACATCAGTTTTTTTCCTGCCTTCAAACTTGAACTGTCTCTTCCTGGGTCTCAGGCCTGTGAGCATTCAAACTAGAACTACTTCATTGGCTCTCTTGGATCTCCAGCTCTCCTAATGCAGAAATTGGGACTTACCAGCTTCCATAATTATGTGAGCCAATTCCTTATAATAAATCTTTTTAGATATATGCATATACATTGTTTCTGTTTCTTTGTAGAACCTTGATAATACAGATTTTGGTACTGAGAATGGTTGTAGAGGAACAGCATTTTAAGGATTAGTTCTCTGAATTGGGTTTGGGGTTTCCAGAATTGGCATGATGTTTACAGGATTTCTCTATAGAATGTGTTGGACTTTATTATTCATTGTCCTCACTTTAAACTTTAACTGAGGTTATGAAACAACAGGATATGCTCCCTTTAAACATCTGATTTAACTTAAATATAAGGAGATAGAATTAGAGAAATATGAGATTCTAGCTAAGAATGTATTGATGATTATTTTTCCCTGTGCGGATTATAATAGGGCATTCATAACTTACTTTAAAGTCTAAATCATTTGAAAATGCATTTAGCTTTTCTGTGAAGTCTGTGGTTCTGATTAGAACTTATATATTTAATTATGTTGATGAAACTGCTATACTTCCAAAACATTACATGTGTCATTCCTGTTAAAGAACTTCTTAATGCCTAAAAATAATTCTGAAAATGATGATATATTGACATAGAAAGCACTCCTTTAACCTAAATCATTTTGGATAGGACTGTGATAAACATTTCAACTAAAAGCATGGTCTTTTTTTTTTTTTAAGGTTCTGAGTAGCATCAATTCAATTGTTCATAATCCAAGAGCTCCAGTAATAATTTATAAACAGAGCAAAGGAGGAACCCAACATTTTAATAAAGATCTTGTTCGAGATTGTGGATTTGAGCATCTTATTCCTATAGTAGAAATGTGGGCAGATCAACTGACTTCTCTAAAGGTAAGGGGTTGAATATTTTTTACATGCTTTGAAAATCTCTTGGATTCTCTGGGCTTATTAAAGGACGAGGCTTCATTTTTTTTTTTTGTTTGTTTGTTTTAGCTGTAAAGCTTACCTTATTTAAAACTTGAATCTTGTTATTTACCATATTGGTTTTAAGTACTACCTATTTGATGTTGTCATTACTATAAGCTTTGCCTCCTGTAAAGTTTTGCTAAAGACTTTTAGACCTGTTGCCATGTTGAAAATCTGTAGCGGATCTATTTTGCACTTCTAGGTCCTTTCCTGTTCTACCTTCATCTTACTCTTTTTGGTATTTCCATGCTGCAGATTTTCCTGGCCTTTTACTCCTCTTGAGATACAATGTTTTATCCTTCATTCCACTTTAATTGGGGATTTTTTTCCTCTTCATATTTTAAATCATTTTCCTTCTCTCAAAACTGTCCACATCTCCATAACTGTTTTATAGAACAGTTAGTAGTTCAATAACAGCCAATACTACTTTTACTTATCATGTCTATCCATGGAAGATAAACATTTCTTTGCTTTCTAGTTATTTTGCATTCTTTATCATGTATCTTCAGGTTTTTCAGTTTTTGTTGAGTAGTTCACTGAAAGGTGAATTGCTAAAGTCATTAATATTTAGTTTCTATTCCCTTCTTCAATCTTTAGATCTTTCTTTCTTTTCTTTTTTTTTTTTTTTTGAGTGGGGACAGAAGGGGCAGAGAGAGGGAGAGAAAATCCTAAACAGGCTCACAACCCTGAGATCATGACCTGAGCTGAAATCAAGAGTCAGACACTAACTGAGCTACTGAGGCATCCCTGATCTTTGATTTTTCAATAATATATATAGCACTACCTCTGTTCATGAATATGTGATTCAGTAACAGTATTTGTCAACAGAACCCTTATTGCATGAAGTATAAATGATACAGAAGATATGAGTAAGAATGTATAAGTTCTATGAGTTTTATCTTTTTTTTTCTCTGATATATCCCAAGGAATCTCCTGATACATAATGTGTGCTTAATATTTCTCAAAAGATTGAAGTAGAATAACAAATTCCAAGACAGCAAAATGACGATGATGATACTGAATTTAAAAAAAATTAATGAAAACATACTGGTAATTGATGAAAGAGTCTTCGTGTTCAGGCTAATTTCTCTTTCCTTTTTTATATAGGGATCAGATAGAGCTATAAAATAGAAAACATTTTAATTGAGTGATAGTGTTGTTGTCTTAATATACCTATCTTATAGGCCTGAGTCTCTCCAGTTTATATCTTAGTAGATGTTAATTATGTAAACCATGGTTAATTATGTAAACCCAGTCATTGCTTGTCAGAGGGTTCTCCCAGTAGTAGGAAACAGTGCTAACCCCACTTTAAAAAAGATTTATTGAGGGGACACCTGGGTGGCTCAGTGATTGAGTGTCTGCCTTCGGCTCAGGGCATGATCCCAGGTGCAGAAATTGAGTCCTACATTGGGTTCCCTGTGAGGAGCCTGCTTCTCTGTGTATGTCTCTGCCTCTCTCTGTGTTGCTTATGAATAAATAAATAAAACCTTTTTAAAAAAAAGATTTATTGGGGCTCCTGGATGACTCAGTCAGTTAAGTATCTGCCTTTGGCTCAGGCCATGATCCTCGAGTCCTAGGATAGAGCCCATGTCAGGCTCCCTGCTCAACGGGGAGTCTGTTTCTCTCTCTGCCCCTCCCCCTCCCCCTACTCCTTCTCTCTCTCTCTCTCTCGCTCTCTCTCTGTTTCTCTCACTCTCTCAAATAAATATTTTTTAAAAAAGATTTATTTATTTGAGAGAGAGCAAATAAGCCAGTTGTGGGAGGGGCAGAAGAGAATCCTTGAGCAGGATTACATAATTAACCATGGTTTACATAATTAACATTTACTAAGATATAAACTGGAGAGACTTAGGCCTATAAGATAGGTATATTAAGACAACACTATCACTCAATTCTCTCAATCCCTGCTGAGGAGGGAGCCCAATGTGGGGTGCTCTGTCCTATGACCCATAAGATCATGACCTGAAGCAAAACCATGATCAGACACCTAAATGACTGAGCCAACCAGATGCTCCACTGTGCTAATCCCACTTTAATTCCTCACAAGGAAGATGGGCTAGAACATGCCCTAGCCTTTCTAAGAGAAGGTAAAAGACTAGAAGAGAAAGGAGACAAAAGAAGAATCACATAAATGGATAGTTACTGATGATTTACTATGTTCAAGGCATTGGGGAGGTAGTCAGAAAAGGTGAACACTGGGTGCCTGGATGGCTCAGTCAGTTAATGTCCAACTCCTGATTTGGCTCAGGTCATGATCTCACAGTTGTGGAATAGAGCCCCTCATCAGGCTCTGTGCTCAGCACAGAGTCTGCTTCAGAGTCTATCTCCTTCCCCTTCTGCTTCTCCCCCTGCTCATGCTCGCTCTCTCTCTCAAATCTTTAAAGAAAAAAAGATGAACACAAGATTCAGACTAATTGGAGAGACAAGACTTTCTAAAAAATGCAAAATAAAATTTAACATTCATGATATCATTAAAAGAAATGAATGCCATAAAAGCAGCCCATGAAAGGAGATGCCTAGGTTGCTCAGTCAGTTAAGCATCTGCCATTGGCTCAGGTCATGATCCTGGGGTCTTGGGATAAAGCCCCACATCAGGCTCCCTGCTCAGTGAGGAGTCTGCTTCTCCTATTCCCTTTGTCTCTCCCCCTACTTGTACTCTCTCTCTCCCAAATAAATAAATAAAATCTTAAAAAAAAAAAAATAAAGCCCATGATGAAGTGCCAAGTGAATGGGGTAGATGACTTGTGCTCCAGAATCTGGAAGGGGAAGAACCCCAAGATAAGCTTGACAGTGGTGGTGAGTTCTTGCTACTGTATAGTTTTTCCACTAGAAGGAGACAAGAGAGTAAATGTTGTAATTAGAATGTTCTGAGGACCTTGGAGAGGAATTTAGTGGCCCTGCCACTGAAGTAATTCATGGATGTTAGGCAATGGTTCAGATATTTAACTATTACGTGGAATCAGGATCCAAATTGAGAAACTGCCTAAGTTCTACATGGCCTCATATGAAAGATTTTCTATATTGTAGTAGCCCTCGAGGTTGGGACAACCATCTTCCTAGATTAGTTTTTTTCTCAGGTTAGATTTGGCTTAAAAAAAGAAGGCTGGGAAAGGCATGAAGGAGCTGTCTGCTCTCTTCCTTCTGTCTTTCCTACCCACCTTTCCAGGAAAGTTGAACTAGAGACTGTTGCTTTCCCAACCCAGTATGCTGCTGTACCCTGTGGCTTTCTCATTCCCCAGGGATCCAGGGGCCTGCTGTACAGAGACAGGATGTTGATTATACATCTACATCCCCACAGCTGAGCAATGTGGAGAACATAGGAGACCCTCTTTTAGATTTTTCAGGGCTTGGTGCACTATGCTACAACCATCCTGTCACTGCCAAGTAGACCAGAACAGCTCTTTTTTCTTAACTGTATAATACTTTATTCCCAAGCAAAATTTATATTTGGGTGGTTTTTACTGAAGACCATTTCTTTATAATCTCAGCTTGTAGATGGAGCCTTGGTTAATGAAGGTTTTTATGCTTCAACTTCCTGACTTCTTTTTCAAATTCCAGTGGCACTTATTGTTTAAAACATTCATTTGATACTGATGTATTGCCTTGAATTTCTGAAATACCAAACTGAATTGCTTCCTTACCAAATAAGAGGCTACAGATAGCCATATGTGAAGCCTGGGCATTCACTGGAGAATGTTAAATAAGTGGAGGACTAAAATAAGGAAAAGAACTTCCTGTACTTCTTTATGTATTTTAGGTTTGTACTAATACAGTAACCACTAGCCATATGTAGCTTTTATTACTTAAAATGTGCTAGTCTCAACTGAGATATGCTGTAAGTTTAAAATACATACTAGATTTAGAACCATATAGAAAAAAATAATTAAAATATTGATTATGTATTAAAAAGTTGACATTTGGATATGGTAGATTAAACCAAATATATGATTAAAGTTAATGTTGCCTGTTTCTTTTTGCTTTAACTGTGGCTATTCAACAATTTAAAATTACTGTGACTTAGAGTGGTACTGTAATAGTGATGTAATGGGACAGATGGTAGCTATACTTGTAATGAACATAGCATAATGTATAAACTTGTCAGATCACTAAGTCATACACCTGAAACTAATGTAACATTTTGTGTCAACCATCCTCATATTAAAAAAAAAAGTAAATACAATTACTCTTTATATTACATTTCTTTTGGACAGCAGTGTTCTAAAGGGCCAAGCACTGTGCCGTGCATATAGTAGATGCTCGGTAAATGTTTATCAATTGACCAGTCTTAGAGTTTTAATCTTCCATTAGCTTTGTCCTTTGTGCAAATCTTAAAATAGATTAGGACAACCTGTCTTGACCAAGAGAATGAAGTAGGCATAATGAAGATTAAGTAGAGTTAATTTAATTTAGAATCTTATAAATTAATTATTTTTTCAAATTAAAAAGCTGCCTAGAAATAAATGCTATAATGGATGAATATTGAAAACATTATCCTAAGTGAAGGAAAGCCAGTCAAAAAAGGCCACTTATTGTATAATTCCACTAAATGTGAAATGCCCAGAATAGGCAAATCCATAGAAATAGAAATTATGTTAATAGTGACCCAGGGTCTGGGGATAGAAAAGAATGGGGAATGGCAGTGAATGAGTATGGGATTTCTTTTGGAGGTGATAAAAATGCTCTGAAATTAGAGAATAGTGATAGTTGCACACCTCTGTAAAATGATTAAAATTACTGAATTGTACCCTTGTAAGGAATGAATTTTATATGAATTATATCTCCATAATTCTGTTATAAAATTGTTTAAGGCTAAAATATAAAGGATGAATTTGTTTTTTATACATCAGTAGTTTAAAAATAATTACTTAAGTAACATATACTACTAATAAATAACATAATTACTTTAAACATCCAGATTTGAGATAATCAATATTATCATTGTTTTTTCTAAGCCCTATATTTACCTGGAGAACACACATTTAACAGACTTTTTCTAAACTAGTAATGGTATTTTTTAAAAAAAGTACTGATGATGGTTTATATATATTAAACTTGCCTGGACAATTATATTATATTGACATTATTATGGAGTCTTTTTAAAAATCAATAATACCATGTTGTTTCTTTTGTTATAAAGGATTTGTATAAGTCCTTGAAAATACTATCTACAGAACTGGTGCCTTGGCATAACTTAAAAAAGCATGATGAAAATGAAGGTATTAGAGTTGAAGATCTGTTGTTTATAGTAGATACCATGTTAGAAGAAGTTGAAAATAAGGAAAAGGTAATGTTTAATACTTATATAAATGTTCATATTTTAATGTAATCTTATCTTAAAAATTGATAGTGATACAGATAATGATATTTGTTCTATTAAGATTCTATTACTCTTTTAAAGTTTTTATTAAAGTTTTAGGATTATTTTAACATGTTAACTGTTTATCCCTCTCTCTTGGACAGGACAGCAATATGCCAAACTTAAAAACTTTGCAAGCTATTGTGTCTCACTTCCAAAAGTTATTTGATGTGCCTTCTTTAAATGGAGTCTATCCTCGAATGAATGAAGTTTATACTAGGCTTGGAGAAATGAACAATGCTGTGAGAAACCTCCAAGAACTCTTAGAATTAGGTGATAACTCTTTATTTTTTCTGGCCCCCATTTAAGAATTATTCCTAATAAATCAACAAAAAGTAGGTTAAAAAATAGAAAGTAAAAAATTGAGGATAACAGAAGCATAGGGTATTTAATTTTAAGATGTTGAAAATTCTTTTTTAAGATATCCTTTTATTTCTCTCTTTCAGATAGTTCATCCTCATTGTGTGTGTTAGTGAACACAGTTGGAAAATTGTGTAGGGTGATTAATGAGAACATGAATGAACAGGTTATGCAGGTATTGGGACCTGAAGACCTCCAAAGGTATTTATTTTAAAAAGTTTGCCAAAAAAAAAAAAAAAAAGTTTGCAAAGTATCATCCAGAATGCTTGGAGTGGTGAAATTAAAGACTTTTCAAAGCTTCATAAGTTATTTACCTTTCCTGTTTGGGATAGCTTTTTAAATAACTTGACTATATAAAATAATCTCACACCTTATCAATGGAGAGAATGCCATGCATTTTCAAGATAAAAATAGATTGTAGGGCCTATAAATTTACATAGGGTGGGTCAGAACTCAAGCATTATTGCTATAAGCCTGTTCCCAAGGAAAATTATGTGTGGAGAAATTCACACCTTGTTAGCAACTTCATGTTAGTGTTCAGACTATATAAACAAGTCCTATTTTTAGTACACTACTATAGGTCGCTTAACAATTGCTAATAGTATGCTTATTATTTGATTAGAAGATAAATGTTAAAGATTTTTTTTAAAGCTTGTCAACTCTAAAAGCTGATTCTTTTTGAAATATGGAAACATTATAGCTATACTTAAAGCAACTCTTCCACCTCCACCCTCCCCCCTCAATTTTATACACAACATAGGGGAAGAGGAGCACATAACATATACCACCTATTCATATATTCTGCAAGTTTTCTACAAAGATCCTTACCTAATCTGACACTGAATTTTCTGATACTTGATGCTTTTAAAAGGAACATATTTGTCTTTTTTCTCTTCCCACATTTAGATGACTGATACTTATTCTTAATGTTTCATAGAATATGGGATATAAAAAACAATTTTTAGAAAATGTTATAAAGCAAGTTCTCTTAAAAATTCTCAAGTGGAAAGCTTTCACATTAGGAGTGTTACATAAATTTAATTTGGAACACATATTTAGACTGATAATAAGGTTTTTTTTTTTAGAAAAGTGGTATTAGATGAACAAAGACTTCAAAAAGGAAGGATTGCAGTAAATGATTATTAAATTTATATTGAAATTAGCAGGAAATTTTCCATTTTGAAAATGTTTTATTTCAATCAGATGCAAGAACCTTAAGTTGGAAATTCAGTGTAAACTGTGCATTTTTTTTTAAAAGCATTATCAACAAATTGGAAGAACATGAGGAATTTTTCCCAGCATTTCAGGCATTTACTAATGATCTACTTGAAATCTTAGGTAAGATCATTGTTGATAGTGGTTAAATTTCAAGTTTTAAGGGGTTTGAGGGGTGAGTGTTCCATAGTCACTTTATTAGTACTTTTACCCATAGTGTTTTGGTAGAAGTGTCTAAAAACACTAACAGTTCTGGAAACACACTCCTGACTTAAAATTAGAGTTGGCTGAGGTTGGTGTACAAAACAGAGAAGCACATCTCCTTAAAATGAGAAATGACATTACTCTGGCTAGGCCCAGTTTAACCCTGACTCTGTCATGCCTAATGAGAAATCTTCATAGAATTTATGATCTTGAAGGTATTTAGTTTTTTAGGGTTTTTTCCTCCTCTTTTTTTTTTTTTAATAGCTTATCTACTGTGGTTTTTTTTTTTTTAATATACAAATTAAATTTCTCGGGTGATAAGTAATGTAAAGTGACTATCTGTAGAAAGAAAGATAAATTCATAAATCTGTATAAGGGAAGAGATTTATTTGTATTCTTGGCCAGATTGAGGGTTTTGTTAGTAGTATTATCTCTTAAAGGGAAAAAAAAATCTAATTTCCTTTGGAATCATAGGCAAAATAGAGAGACCCAAGGCTCTTATTTTTTTAAAGAATGCCTCTTTGACATAGGAAATTAAATTAGAAAAGGAGGGGAGCCTGGCTGGCTCAGTGGGGTATAGCATGCAACTCATGATCTTGGGGTTGTAAGTTCAAGCTCCACATTGGGAAGAGAGCTTACATTTAAAAATAATAATAAATTAAATTAGAAGAGGAGATAAGATTTAGTAGAAGATAAGGGACTAATAAGTAAATTAAAATTTGGTAAGAAGATAGATGAATAAATGAAATGTAAAGAAGCATCTGACTGGAATATCGAGCCTGGTAAACATAAAGGATGCTTTGTGGCAAGTTTTATATATGCTATGGAAGCAAGGGAGACAGTGACTGAATGTACTTTAGTCATGCTCATATGTTTGGAAGATATCATAGCAATGAAAAATGTAATTTGAAAAGTTACAGAAGAGACCTGAAATTGTAGAAATGTATTGCCTTGTATCCTAAAGACAATAAAATCAGTTTCATAGAATAATAAGATTTTACTTGCTTTGGGGTAGCAGTTAAATAGGGAAGTTCTCATCATTAATAAATATTTTAATAGGTGTGCAGATAACACTTATTTAGAATCCTTCTATAGAAACATCCAGATATTATGACACTCAGCTTGGTTCATACAGCATTATTTACTCCTAGAAGCCATGTCTCTCTGCAGATGAATTCTGTATTTATGTCACAATTTAAATTCTGGAGTTACAAATGACACTTAACATTGGAAAGTGAAATCTGTTTGTCAAGCATAACTATTTTTATCATTACTAGATGTCATTTTAAGCATCTAGAACTACAGTGTTGTATTGAATACCAGAAGTGGAGAAGGACTTTATTTTGTAAGTGGTGTGATTAGCAGAGATTATTCTCAAATCAGCCAAAAATCTTCTTTGCAGGGTTCGTTTATAAGGCAGATATCTAATTTTTTAGAAAACAGGTATGATTTCAGAATGGGGTTCAGGGAATAACTTGATCTCCTCATGATATAAGGTGTGAATCAAATTCTCTGTTTTAGATTTGCTTATATTTTTTTCTGATATCTTGACAATTTGTAAGTGGATCTAGACAAGTATTCTGACTGAAGTCAGGAGCTTAAATAGCATAGGCTCTATGTTTAAGTTAAAGGAAAAGCAACCAAAATTCAGCTAAACATGGAGGAAGAAAGGTGAAATATAAGGAAGCATGTTTTATATAAAGGAAAATTAGTTTCTAAATAGTGGCCTAGCAGAATAATATAGAAAAAAGTGGTAAGAATCTAAAGAAAGTGCCACTGGGGCTTGTAAGGCTGGAGCCTAGATAATGAGAAAAAAGGACCTTGCTTTTCCAGTGGTCAAGAGCTTTCAGTAAATTTAACAGGGTGGTTGGAAGAAGACAGTTTTAGAAAGAGAAATCAAATTCACAAAGAATCTGGCAGAGAAGAATCTGAACTAGTTTATCTGGTAAGCTGGACCAGGCTAAAGCTCTACAACACATTGCATCTGAGATTTGTACTTTGAGAAGCCTCACATTTTTTATTAAGTAGATATGTTTTACCCTAAAAATGATCCTACTATAGTATTGAGAAATTTTTCCAATAGAACTAAGAGAGAGAACTATGTTCATGAGAAGAAATCATTAAGTGCTCAGATGGGGACCCAGAGGAGAGACAGCTTTTACCTAGGATTTCACCATGTAGACTCACCCATGTAATTATATAGATTTAAAGAGGTAATAACATATCATGATGTGGCCTGTAGAATCTCTTAATAAGAGCACACTGCTGATGAGATTAATATCAGAGTCAGAGGATACTTGTAGGTATATGGTAGCTTTACGAACAGATGCCCTGTGAAGCATCTGGGTCTGAATCAGTGACACTCTCATCACCACCATTGAAGAAAAATTTAATGTACATAGAAGTGCTAGTTGTTGTTGTTGCCTTTGCATTTGAGGTTTGCCTTTGCATAGAGATTCTCTTTTTTTTAATAAATTAATTTTTTATTGGTGTTCAATTTACCAACATTGCATAGAGATTCTCATTTCATCTGAGCCTATCACTAGATAAAGCTAGTCTTGCCTTATTCTTGTTTTTCTGTTACAGAAATTGATGACTTGGATGCCATTGTACCTGCAGTAAAGAAATTAAAAATACTTTCATACTGAAAACAAATCAAATCATTGTTACTGTGTAAATTGCATTCTTAACATTATGAGTATTTTGTAGGATTGATCTTGCTTTGAGACAAGGGTTGTAAATGTATTTACTCTCAGGATTCGTCCCCTTCTTAGTATTGGTCCTTCCCATTTATATTTTTTATTCACTTTGAGATTCCTATATAGAAAACAGTTGTAAGCTAAAGTGGTAAGTTACCTTTAAGTCCTCTAATCATTCCTTAGGCAATTCTTGAGTGCTTAAAGTTTAAGATTGTTTAAAGTATAGTGTGTGAGTAAAACAGAAACTCAGGAAGAGAAGTTGCAAATAATAGAAATGTTGCATTTAAGTTGAAGATTTAGTGACCTTTTTGATTCTGGGAACAAGAATTGCCAGTGGCTCTCTTAAATTCAGCCAATAGGAACCTATTGCTTTCCTGGCCAGGAAATGGCACATTCTATTAAGATACCCCTCATGGCACTTGCCCTTTCATAGCAGGAGGAAGAAAAGGAAGAAATGTTTTATCATTGTGTTAGGATAGGAAATGAATTATGAGGTACTATAGCGGGGTAGGTAGTAGTCTCTCATTAAGAAAAGTATCTTTTTGCAATCTTGATGTAATATAGTTTTTATAAGGACATGAAATCTTAAATAAAGTTTTTGTGAAGAATTTCCAAATATAAGTGTCCTCAGTGACTTATTTATTTATATTATGCACAAATAGTGAATTATATTTTCTTACAAGGCTGAGCCTTGATGCATTTTATTTTACATAAGAATACTTTTCTTGCTGCCTTCTGCTTATTCTCTGTTCTCAGTATTCACTCTGATTTTCGCAAGGGACCAATGTTACTGCACCCTCCTCCCTTACTGCTCTTTTGTAAGTAGCAAGCTTAGGCTTTTTCTAGATTCAAAACTCTTTGTTTTGTTAAGGTGCAGTTACATTTTTAAATTCTAGCCCACAATTTGTGAAAGAATCTGTGTCTTTGAGAGAGGAGTAGAAAAAGTAATTGGATATTCAATAATGTAAGCACTCTGAGTTGATTAGATTACTCCAAGAAATTGCTATGAGGCAGTTTGTGAATCTAACAGTATTTGAAAGGAAGGAATTTAATTTAATTTTATTTTTTTAATTATTTTTTTATAATTTTTTTTAATTTATTTATGATAGAGAGAAAGAGAGAGAGGCAGAGACATAGGCAGAGGGAGAAGCAGGCTCCATGCACCGGGAGCCCGATGTGGGATTCGATCCAGGGTCTCCAGGATCGCGCCCTGGGCCAAAGGCAGGCGCCAAACCGCTGAGCCACCCAGGGATCCCCAGGAATTTAATTTTAAAATGATGTTAGCTCTTAGCTTAAAACAGATTTTCAAACTCTTCCTCAGAGGTCTCAGCTTTTTTTGGAGGGTCACTGAGCAGGACAGTGCCACTAGGAGGAAGAACTGCAGCTCCCTCTGTCAGGTCCACTTTTATCCAGTTTTAATTACTTAAAATATAAGTAAGATACTGCAATTACTGTTTAGCTCTTTTTTAATATTTTAACTGATGTATAATTGACTAATAAGCTGTACATATTTAAAGCATACAATTTGATAAGTTTCGATACATATATACACCCATGAAACCATTACCACAATCAAAATACTAAACATACTTCATCTCTCCAGAAGTTATCTCTTTGCCATTGGTAATCCTACCCAGCCCTCTCTTGCCCCTAAGCAACAACTGATCTGTTCTAAGTCACTATAAACTTGTTTGCATTTTATGAGATCTCATAAATAGAATCATACAATTGATTTTAAAAAGTTCTTTTTTTGTGAAGCCTCTTCCACTCAGCATAATTTTGAGATTTTTGCATGTTGTTGCATTTATTAATAGTTCCTTTTTATTGCTGTGTAGTATTCCATTGTATGAGTATACCGTAATTTGTGTATCCATTCATTTATTGATGGAAATTTTAGGTATTTTAAGTTTTTGACTACTAAATAAAACTGCCATAAACATTAATGTTCAGGGCTTTGTATGGACATACACCTGATATCCAGTTTCTTGAAAACCATTTCATATATTTTGTCTGTTCTTTGTTTTGGTTCTGGTTGGTACAGGTGGAAGGGTAAATTTGGTTTCTGTTACTCCATGCTGGTTAAAGTGGAAGTTTTGAAGTATTGAGTCTGAAAATATGTAGGGTTTCTTAGGTTGTCTTTTCATTATTTTTTTCTAATTTTATTGCATTGTAGTCCGAGAACAGTTTTGTTTGTTTTTTCCCTTTTTCGGTATCAAGTCTTTGGAATTTGTGAGACTTTGTGACTTTTATGTGATGAAATTTACACATGTTCCACAGATTACTTAAAAAAGCCTCATCTCTGTTTGACATATACTGCTATTAAATTGTTTAAATCTACTTCATTTCTATCAATTTTTTGTTTCGTTGATTTGTTAGTTTATGAGAGATACTGAAATTTTTCTGTGGATTTGTCAAATTTGTTTTATGTATTTCAAGCCTATTTACATGTACTTATAAATTCATAGTTGATAATAGCTTCTCAACTAATAGCTCTGTTGCTACTCATGCATTTCACCTTAAATGCATTTTTGTCCTTTCTTTTAATTGATAGTTGTTGGATATTTCTTATCCTTTTTTTTCATTTATTTACTTATCTTTTTTATTATAAAATATAACACATGCTAAGAATGGTATAAACTATAAATGTCAAGTATAATGAATGGTTATATGGTGAATGCCCTGCAACAATCAAAAAACAGAACATGACCAGCCCTCCAAAATGCACTCCCCCATATGTCCTTTCCCCCAAGGGGTAACCATTAGCCTGACTTGTTAGTCTCTTCCATTTTTTAAAAAAATAATTTTGCCACTTCTGTGTATACCTAAACCAGGATAATTTTTACCTGTTTTTGAACTGTATAAAAATGGTGACTCATATTCTTTTTATTTTATTTTTTTTCATATTCTTTTTAATATTTGTTCCTTGATTCAATATTATTTTTATACTATTGATCCCTGTTGTTGTCTGTTGGTCCAGGTTGTTTTCATTGCTGTCTAGTATTCCTTTATGAATATTACACAATCCATTTGTCTGTTCTACTGGCAATTGATATTTGGATTGTTTCTTGTTCTTGGCTGTTGTGAACTGCTGCTATGAACATTCTTATATATGCATCCTTGTACACTTGTGTACAAGTTTTCTAGAATCAATATCTAAGAAGTAAAATTGCTGGGCCCTGGGAAAGAAAATACATATACTACCACAGAGGCTGTATGCTGTAGAGTTAGAGGTAATATCCCACCATCAGCGTATCCCACCATTCCACATCCTGACCAATTATTGGTAAGTCAGATTTTTAATTTTTTGCCATTGTAGTGTATAGAGTTGTTATTGTGGTTGTAATGTTTATTTCTGTGATTACTAATGAAGTTAAGCATCTTTTCCTTTGTTGGCCATTTGTATTTCTTTTTTGAAGTGCTTTGTTCATTTTACTGTTGGACTACATGTCTTTTTATATTGATTTGTAAGAGTTATGTATTTTGGACATAAGCCATTTGACAGTTACATGTGTAGGAAATGTTTTTTTTACTATTCTCTGTCTTCTTTCCATTTTCCTATACAGTTGACCCTTGAACAGCATGGGGGCTGGGGGTGCCACCCTGCCCCCATGCAGTCACAAATCTGTATTACTTTTGACTCCTCAAAAACATAACTACTAATAGCTTCCTGTTGACCAGAAGGAAGCCTTACTGATAATGTAAGCAGTCATTTAACACATATTTAATATGTTATATATTCTCTACTCTTATGAGAAAGTAATCTAGAGGAAAAAAAATGTTAAAATCGTAAGAGAAAATACATTTATAGTATTGTACTGTATTTATAAAAAAAATAATCCGCATGTAAGTGGACCCATGCAATCAAAACTCGTGTTGCTCAAAGGTCAACTCTAGTTTCTTTTTATGAACTGAAGAATTTTAGTTTAGAGATGTATGGTTTTTACCTTTATAGTTTAGTGCTCTGTGTGTCTTATGAAATTTTTACCTAGTCATTGTTGTAAAATTATTCTATGTTATCTTATAGCCGTATAGTTTTGCCTTATCACATTGAGTCTAATACACCTGGGGTCTTTTTTTTTTTTTAATTCAAGTATAGTTGGCATAGAGTGTTAACCAGTTTCAGGTGTATGTACGGATACAACGCTGTACATTATTATACATTATTATTATACATGTATAATATATTATTATACATTATATACTCACCACAAGTGTAGCTGCCTTCTGTCACTATACAATGTTATTACAATACCATTAATTATATTTCCTATGCTGTACCTTTCATCCCAGTGACATATACACTCCCTAACTAGAAGCCTATACCTTCTACTCCCCTTTGCCCATTTTGCCCATCCTCCCACACCCCTGTACTCTGGCAACCACCTGCTCTCTACTTATGGATCAGTTTCTGCTTTTTTTGTCTGTTCCTTTGTTTTGTTTTTTGAGATTCCATATATAAGTGAATTCATATGGTTTTTATGTCCCTTCGCATGAATTGTTTGACTTAGCATAATACTCTTTAGGTCCATCCATCCATGTTGTCTCAAATGGCACAATCTCATCTGTTTTTATGGCTGAGTAATATATGTTGTATATACCATATATTCTTTACTCACTTATCAGTGGACCCTTGGGTTGCTTTTTTGTTGTTGTTTTTTTTTTTTTTTTTGCTTTTAATGATTGTAAATAATGCTGTAGTAAACACGGGGGGGGCATATATTTTTCAAATTAGTGTTTTCATTTTCTTTGGGCAAATATTCAGTAGTGGATTTATTGGATCACAGGGTATTTCTACTTTTAATTTTTTGAGGAATCTCACTGTACCAATTTACATTCTCATCATCAGTGGACAGGGGTTCCCTTTTGTCCACATCCTTGCCAACATTTGTTATTTCTTTTTCATACTAGCCATTCTGACAGGTATAAGATAATATCTCCTTATGGTTTTGATTTGAATTTCCCTGATAACTGATAACAGTGAGCATCTTTTTTTTTTTTTTAAAGTAATCTCTCCCCAAGTAGGGCTCCAACTCATGACCCTGAGATCAAGAGTCACATGCTCTTCTGACTGAGCCAGCCAGGTGCCCTGATGTTGAGCATCTTTTCATGTGTCTGGCAGCCTTCTGCATGTCTTCTTCAGAAAAAATGTCTATTCAGGTCCTCTGCCCATTTTTAATTGGATTATTTGTTGTTTGGTGTTATGTATTTTGGATATTAACTCCTTATCAGATATGTCATTTGCAAATATGTTCTCCCATTCGGTAGGTTGCTTCTTTTTTTTTTTTTTTTTTGTCCATAGTTTCTTTTGCTATGCAAAAGCTTTTTATTTATTATTTTAATTTTATTTTTTAAAAGATTTTATTTATTTTGAGAGAGAGAAGGGCAAGGGAAGCATGAACGGGGAGAGAAGAGGGCAGACAGAGAGAGAATCCCACTGAGTACAGAGCCTGACAGAGGGCTCAATCTCAGGATCCTGAAATCATGACCTGAGCCAAAATCAAGAGCGAGATGAAAAGCTTTTTATTTTGATGTACTCCCAGTCGTTTAATTGCCTGAAGAGACAAATCTAGAATAATGTTGCTAAGTCTAGTAACAAAAAGATTACTGCCTATATTTTCTTCCAGGACTCTTATGGATTCAGGTCTCACATTAGACTTTCAATCCATTTTGAATTTGCTTTTATGTATGGTATAAGAAAGTGGTCCAGTTTCATTCATTTTGATAGCATGTTGCTATCCAGTTTTCCCAGCACCATTTGACATTCTAGGCTTTAGTAGTGGGTTTATTGTGATTGTAAGTATATTTAGAGGTCTTTTGACCATCTTTTGGTTTTTCTAATTATTTTTTCTGGGCTTTTTTCCTTTATTTTTGGGGGGTTGATTTTTCTCTACCTTTTCTTCTCCACTACTGATTTAGAAGTTCAGCTCTACTGATTTTTCTATTGTTACCCCATTTTACTGATTATCTTAAAGTTGTAAATACATACTTTGTCAGTCAGGGTCCAGCCAGCAGACAAACCATGTTACATAGGTAGCTAACAGGAGAAGAACTGCTAACTAGTGAATGGTAGTTAACTACTAAAAGATAAAAGAGGACTAAGAGGTACAGAATAGCAACTGCAGAAAGCAGATACTACGCTCAGGGATAAAGGAGAATAAAGAAAAGAATTGTGAAATTTAGAAAAATGCCTTTAAACTAGGCTGAGATTGGAAACTTTGAGGAGAGGTTTGGCGGCCATAGGAGGAAGCCTACTTGTGTTAAAAAAAAAAAAAAAAAAAAAAAGAATGAAACAAAACAACCCAACTTGCTGGCAGATGCTGAACCCTAAAGGCCATAATTATGGTGGTAGAGCCCAATGACATGAGCCACGGATAAACTGTGAGGGTGCTTAGGTGACAAAGAATAGCTAGCTGCCATGGAAAACAGCACACCGATAGAAACAAAGAAAAAGCCCCTTTTTCTTGCTTCTCTGGCCTTGCAGTGTTTCTCCAATGCCCTATATTGGCAAAGCCTAACATCAAGCCCCCTGACAAAGAGACAAGTCTGGTGTTCCCTGAATCATCAAAGCACAGCAAAGATGGATTAATTTGGAGCTGAGAGGTGACAAGCTAGTAACCAACACAAATTTATCATTTATTTTTAAAATATAAAGCTATTTTTAGTTTCCTAAGTAAGATAGTGACCTAAACACTTCAACTTTCCTCTGAACCAGCCTCATGGCCTTTTTACAATGTTAATGGCCTTTTTACAATGTTAATTAATACCAATGTTAATTAATACCTTTTTACAATGTTAATTAATTAAAGCTATTTTTAATTTCCTAAGTAAGATAGTGACCTAAACACTTCAACTTTCCTCTGAACCAGCCTCATGGCCCTAATACAATGTTAATAGTATTTTAGTGCCACTGTGTTTTTGAATCCAGTTTATGCAAAGATTTTTGGTTGCTTGCTTGTTTATATTTTTTAAGCAGTCAAGACTTAGGTTATCATTTTGTGGGTTTCTTTGTTCCCCATTCTTTGCCATGTGGATGTTCCACTTTCTTGCTGAAATACATCTCATGCCATTTTTCTGTTTGATGTCCTTGTGTGTTTCATAATTTGAAAATTCCAATTGTATTTTATAATTTTTTGCCAGTGAGCTTCTTTTAGTGGGAATTATCTGCTGCAGTGGACCCACATGTGCCCTGGATGGGCATGGCAACCCTAAGGGCCAGTTTTGTGGTTACCTGAGGCTTCACATGATTATAGGTTCTAAACCTATTTTCACATTCGTTTCAAAGTTTGGAGGTCTCTATACTAAATCAATTGTATGTAACCTTAGACCCCATATTCCTGTAGGACAGATTAGCTGACTGCTTCCACGGATCGTTGACAACCAGTTCCTTGTCCTCATTGGCACCCACAGTGGTTTTTGGTACAAAACTTTTCAGGCTTTTTGTCCCTTACACAAGCCTTGCCCTCTGTCTAGTATATGCTAAAATTATGTTTCCTATCAACACTTAAACTCCCCTTCAACCCCTATACACTGCTTTAGACTTCCTCTTTAGACCATCACCAGGAGATTTACCTGTGTTACTTCTTAATCAGCCATGTTTAAAGTATTGTGTTTGGTATTTAATGTTTGTTTACTCTCCATCCAGTTGAACTAAGTTACTATGGCAAGTACGTGGTAGATGTGTAATAAAATTTGTTTCTGCTAAGATTTCTATTTTGAGTGACAAGTTCTCATAACAAAATTAGGGCAACTCATGCCTGTCCTGCTACTCACAATGGCACTGGAATATTCACTAAATACATGTGCCCTGAAAATGGTAAAGCATCAGAGATGTATAAGGGAATGCATCATGTACCACAACCCGAATATTAGCAACCCTAAAACAACTTCTGGTTAAGATGGCAAACAAGCAAAAACCTATCCTTCCAAACACATAGAAAACCTACTTAAACCCCCTTCCCTTGGTTGGTTACTTCCCAGGAATATTGGTAGCCGCTCCAGAAACAGACCTCCTTCACCCCTTATGTCTGAGAATAGGACACTTTTGACACATATATTTGGGCTAATCCCAAATTATATGGTATGTAATTACCTACCAAAAAAAATCACCCCTGAGGTTCCAATAATTTATTAGGCATAAATACCCCATTTCTTTCTGGATTTGAACAATTAAATCCAACCGAGAGAGTAGTACTTGCTTTTATATATGTTTACCTCTTCCTAATACTATCCAGTCATATATTTAAATTTCACACAAAAATGTATGTATATATTTTCAAATGGCTGTTCTGACTTAAATTACAAAATATACATATGTACACATCTTAATATAAAGGTGGAAGGGTGCTCATCAACTTCTGGGCTGTCCATCTGGAGTCAGCTCATACCTGTAAGACAGTTGGGTTTGGACTTGTGTTAGTATTGAGAGTATGTTGTGGTGGCAGCATCAGGACAAGCAGCCTTGTCTAACCAGCCTTGTCTCCCAGTCCCCAGGCCTCTGTGGGACTGGGAGAGCCCATCTCTCTTAAGTCAACCAGCCAGGATTAAGGCTAGAGCTTAGGTCTGTTAGAAGCCTTAGGTACAGGTGATAATGTGTCTCCCTCCTTGATAAGCAATGAAGCTGACATGTACTGAAAAAGGAAAAGTTTTAGAGAAAGATTATGTGCAACTGTCTGAGACAATGTCTTGAGTACCAGATTAATGGAATACAATGAAAGGGCTCACTTACCATCGTGAGAAGCCCTTAATTAGATCCTCTTTTGATAAGTCAATCAGTACCTAAACAAACACAAAAAATCAGTTTCTTTCCAAAAAATGGAAACATACTGGGACAAACGGAATCAATCATAAAAAGGGCCCCCTTAGGTTTCAGTTTTGATCAGGGGCTCTTTTTCTTTTAGCTCTCAACACGGAAGCTCTCCAGAAGGACAGTATAGACATTGACCTCAGTGTACTTGGGGAAAGGTGAACTGCTCTTTGGAGTTAAACCTCAGAATTTAAAAATGTTACTGAAAGAGAAAATAGACTTGCCTTTACTTGTGAACAGATTAGTAATTTTAAGCAAGACACCACAGTTGCCTCAACTATAGAAATGGGAATAATGTCACTTACATCATAGAAGTAGGCTCTTAAAATGATTATAAGAAGGTGTTTATTAAAATACAACTGCAGGGGATCCCTGGGTGGCGCAGTGGTTTGGCGCCTGCCTTTGGCCCAGGGCGCGATCCTGGAGACCCGGGATTGAATCCCACATTGGGCTCCCGGTGCATGGAGCCTGCTTCTCCCTCTGCCTGTGTCTCTGCCTCTCTCTCTCTGTGTGTGACTATCATAAATAAATAAAAATTAAAAAGAAATACAACTGCAAAGTATTATACAAATATCATTCTTTTTTGTCTCTCCTTGGCATCTTCCTGAAGATTATATTTTCTCTACTTTCACTTTAAGTAAAATCCCATAGCCACAAAAATCTTGGCATAATAAGACCCAAGCTTCACACAGTGTTGTATTTATCAAAACAGTACTTAATAGATGTTCAGATACTTGTGCAATGATGAATTCGGATAGATTTTCCAGTTTGTTAAAATAGTGTTCATCACATTAATTTACACATCTATTTTACTTTCAACAATATTAAAAAGATACACACACAAAACCTCCCAAAGAGGACCTACCGTCCTTGAAGCCAGTTCTGGTAACAGCCAGATGATCCCATCAGAATTTCTGCAAGGGGTTCCACCAATGAACTCACCAAGAGTCCCTCTTGTACTTACTTTTCCTAGTTCCTTCCTTCTATGTGAGCCAAGTGGCCTACTGTTTTTCACTGCAACATCTAGTGACCTCTTCTTTACTTCTTCCATGGGAACAAAAAATTCGAATCTTTAAATGCAAAAAGTCAGAAAGTAAGTTTTTCGAGATTTACATATTTTAATCATTTTTGTTGAAAATCTGAAGTGTATGATCCATTTTCCTACTTTTAAAACAGATATAGACTATTGAGGGGACCATCTAGAACAATGTTGGCTCATAGCAGATATTCAATGCATTGTTATTACAGGTAACCACTGTCCTATGCTAATCACAAGCCCTGGAAATATCAAGAGGCTGTTTGTCTCTCTGTGAAGTGCCTTGGACTACTATGCTTTGGGGTTTCTTTCTCTGAGCCTACCCTGTCTCCCTCTCTTTCAACTACCCCTTCTCACTCTCAACAGTGCTTGCTTATAAAACCGCCTTAATCCCTGTCTCTTTTGTTGTTTCTGACCAGCTAAGGACAAGGATGCTGAATATTAAGGTATATTGGAACTTCATAGAAAATAGTGGCCCTTCCCTCTTCTGCCTGTGGAGTAAGGCAGAGGAATCTTAGTCTATAGCTTTGTCATGTACTCACAAGAGGCCACTGGAATCCTTACTTCTAGTTTTGTTTTTGGTTTTGTTTTGTTTTGTTTTGGACATAAGGGAACATTAGTTTCAGGTGTATAGCAAAGATTGGATTTTTGTATATATTGCAAAATGATCACCATAAGTCAACATCTATCACTATACATAGTTACAAACTTTTTTTTCTTGTGATGAGAACTTTCAAGATCCACTCTCCTAGCTACTTCCAAATATGTAATATAGTATTAAATATGGTCACCATGCTGTGCATTATATCCCCATGACTTCATTTTATAAGTGGAAATGTGTTCCATTTGACTCCCTTTACCTACCTCCACCCCTCCCAACCACCAATCTCTTCTTTTTATCCACAAGCTTGGCATCTTTTGTTTTTTTTTTTGTTTTTTTTTTTTTTGCTTTTATGGGGTTTTTTGTTTCTTTTTAGACTCCACATATAAATAAGATTATACAGTAAGAATATTTTTCTGACTTATTTCACTTAGCATAATACCCTAAAGGTCCATCCATGTTTTTGCAAATGGCAAGATTTCATTATTTTTTATGGCTGAACAATATTCCATTGTATATATGCCACATTTTCTTCATTAATCCATCAGTGGACACTTAGGTTGCTTTCATTTCTTGGCTATTGTAAATAAAGTTGTAGTGAGCATGGGAGTATGTATGTGTTTCTGAATTAGTGTTTTCACTTTCCTTGGATAAATACCCAGAGATGGAGTTGCTGGATCATATGGTAATTCTATTCTTAATTTTTTGATGAAACTCCATACTGTTTTCCATAATGCCTGCAACAATTTACATTCCTACCAACAGTGCACAAGTGTTCCCTTTCTCCATATCTTCACCAACACTTGGTAATAGTCATTCTAACAGGTATGAGGTGATATCTCATTGTGGTTTTGATTTGCATTTCACTGTTGATTAGTGATACTGAGAACCTTTTCATGTGTCTATTGGCCATCTGTATGTCTTTGGGAAAATGTCTGTTTAGGTTATCTTTAAACTAGACGTTTTTTGAATTGTTTAAATTCTTTGGATATTTTGAATATTAACCACTTATCAGAAATTTCCTCCCACTCTGTAGGTAGCCTCTTAATTTTATTGGGCAGTTTCCTTTGCAGAAACTTTTTAGCTTGAGGGAGTTTGCACTTGTTTTTGTTTTTGTTGCCTTTGCTTTTGGTGTCAAATTCAAAAAATTATCACTAAGTTCAATGTCGAGCTTATTGCCTATATTTTTTTCTAGGAGTTTTATGGTTTCAGACATTCAAGCCTCTAATCCATATTGAGTTTATTATTGTGTATAATGTAAGATCATGGTCCAGTTTTATTCATTTAAATGTGGCTGTCCAGTTTTTCCAGCACCGTGTATTGAAGAAACAGTCCTTTCCCCATTGTATAAGTTGTCATACTAATTGACTATTGTCATAAATTAATTGACCATAATATACGTGTGGGTTTATTTATGAACTATCTTGTTCCATTGATCTTTGTGTCTGTTTTTATGCCAAAACCATACTGCTTTGATTACTATAGATTTGTAAGAGTTTGAAATCAAGTAGTATAATGCCTCCAGTTTTGTTCTCAAGATTGCTTTGGGTTTTTTGTTGTTCCATACAAATTTTAGGATTTATTCTCTTTCTGTGAAAATCCCATTGGAATTTTGAAAAGATTGCATTAAATCTGTATATTGCTTTGGGAGTATGGACATTTAAACAACATTAATTCTTCCATTCCATGAACAGGAACTATCTTTCCATTTATTTGTGTTTTTAATTTTTCTCATTAATGTCTTATAACTTTCAACATACAGATCTTTCACCTTCATGGTTAAACTTATTCCTAGGTATTATATTCTTTGATGCTACCATAAATGGGATTGTTTTCTAATTTCTCTAATAATTCATTATTACTGTTCAGAAATGCAACAGGTGTTTGTATATTGATTTCGAATCTTGAAGCTTTACTGAACTTGCTGATTAGTTCTAAGAGTTTATGGGTGGAGTCTTTAGGGTTTTCTATGTCATGTCATCTGCAAACAGTGACACTTTCTTCCTTTTCAATTTGGATGCCTTTTGTTTTTTCTTGCTTAATTGCTCTAATTAGGACTTCCAGTACACGAAAAGTGGTAAGAGTAGGCATCCTTGTCTGAGTATGATGTTAGCTGTGGGCTTCACTTATGGCCTTTATTATGTTGAGGTACAGTCCCTCTATACTCATTTTGTTGATAGTTTTATCATAAATGGATGTTGAATTTTATCACATGTGTTATCTGCATCCATTGAGATGAACATATGATTTTTGTTAATTTGATGTTTCACATTGATATGCAGATGGATGTTTAATCCTTGCATCCTGAGATCCCCACTTAATCATGATGTATGATCCTTTTAATATATTACTGAATTCAGGTTTCTAATCTTTTGTTGAGGATTTTTGCATCTATGTTCATAGATGGTCTATAATTTTTTCTTGTCTCCTTATTTGGTTTTGGTAATGCTGGCCTTGTATAATGAGTTTGGAAGTGTTCCCTCTCCTGTTTTTTCAAAGAGTTTGAAAGGGATTGGTATTCTCTGAGTGTTTGATATAATTCACCAGTGAAGCCATCTGGTCCTGGACTTTTGTTTGTTGGGAGATTTTTGATTACTGATTCAGTCTCCTTATTAGTAATCGGTCTGTTCAGATTTTCTATTCATTATTCAGTCTTGGTTGTATGTTTCCAGGACTTTACCCATTTCTTCTAGCTTGTCAAATTTGTTAGTGTATAACTGTTCATTGTACTCTCACGATCCTTTGTACTTCTGTGGTATTAGTTATAATATCTCCTCTTTCCTTTCTGATTTTGTTTTTTCTTGATGCGTCTAGCCTAAGGCTTGTCAATTTTATCTTTTCAAAGAACCTACTCTTAGTTTCATTGATCTTATCTATTGTCTTAGTCTCTATTTCTATAATTTATTTCTGCTCTGTTCTTTATTTCCTTTCTTCTGTTAACTTTGGGCTTTCTTCATTCTTTTTATAGTTCCTTGAGGTTGAGATTTTTATTGTTTACTGACATAGGTATTTATTGCTGTGAACTTCCCTCTTAGAACTGCTTTTGCTGCATTCCACAAATTTGGCAAGTTGTACTTCCCATTTGTCTAAAGATATTTTTGATTTCTTCTTTGACCTGCTGGTTGTTCAGTAGCATGGTGTTTAATCTTTACATACTTGTAAATTTTCTATTTTATTTCTTGATTCCTAGTTTCATATCATTATGGTCAGAGAAGATACTTGATATAATTTCAGTTTTCTTAAGTTTATTAACACTTGTTTTGTGATCTACATATGATCTATCTAGGAGAATGTCCCATGTGCACTTGAAAAGAACATATTCTATATATTCTGCTTTTGGATGAAATGTTCTGTATCTATCTGTTAAATCCATGTGGTCTAACATGTCATTTAAAGTTGATATTTCCTTATTTATTGTCTGGATGATCTATCATTGATCTAAGTGGGGTATTAAAGTCCCCTCCTAGAATTGTATTGCTGTTGTTGCTGTATTGCTATTTTTTTCCTTTAGGTCTGTTAATATCTGATTTCTATATTTAGCTGCTCCTATGTTGGATGCAGAAATATTTGTAAATGGTATATCCTCTTATTAAATTGACTTCTTTATCATTATATAATGCCCATCTTTGTCTCTTATTACAGTCTTTGTTTTCAAGTCTATTTTGTCTGATAGAAGTATAGCTACCCCAGTTTTCTTTTAGTTTCCATCTGCTTAGAATATATTTTTCCATCCCTTTATTATCAGTTTGTGTATGAAATGAGTTACACTTTGCCTAATGAGTCTCTTATAGACCACACATAGATGGATCTTGTTTATGTTTTTTATCCTTTCAGCCACTCTGTGTCTTTTGAATGGAGAATTTAGTCAATTTATATTTAAAGTAACTTTGATAGTTTATATTAATAGTACTTAATGCCATTTTGTTGTTTTCTGGCTGTTTTGTGGTCCCTCTCTATTCCTTTCTTTTGCTTTCTTCCATTGTCATTTTATGACTTTGCTTAGTGGTGTGCTTAGATTACTTTCTTTTTACATTTTGTGTACCTACCTACTATAGGTTACACCGAGGCTTATATTGAACAGTCTACTTTAAGTTGATAATATCTTAAGTTTGAAAGCATTCTAAAGCTCTACGTTTTACTCCTGCCCCACCACATTTTATATCTTTTTTTATATACCTTAATTAGTTACTGTGGTGATAGTTATTTTTAGTAGTTTTTTTAACCTTCTAACTAGCTTTATATGTAATTAATCCACTACCTTTACTATATATTTACCAGTGAGACTTATGCCTTTACATGTATTCTTGCTACTAATTAGCAATCTTTCTTTTCAGCTTACAAAGTCCCTTTCATAATTCTTTTAAGGCCAGTCCACGCAATCCTGGAAACCCGGGATCGAATCCCATATCGGGCTCCCGGTGCATGGAGCCTGCTTATCCCTCTGCCTATGTCTCTGCCTCTGTCTCTCTCTCTCTGTGACTATCATAAATAAATAAATTTAAAAAAAAATTTAAAAAAAAAAGGCCAGTCCAGTGGTAATAACTTCTCTCTCTCCAATTCTTAATGACAACTTTGCCAGGTAAAGTATTCTCGTTTAGAAGTTTTTTCTTTCAGTACTTTGACTATATCATGCCAGTCCCTTCTGGCCTGCCAAGTTTCTGCTGAAAACTCTGCTATCTAAAGGATTCCCTTATACGTAACAAGTTTTTCTCTTGCTGTTTTTAAGATTCTCCCTTCAACTTTTGACATTTTAATTACAACATGTCTTAGTATGACTCACAAGAGGTTTCTGTCTCTTTATTTCTAGGTTTATTGTTAGGGTGGAAGTTGCCAAGTCTGCCCTCCAGATAACCCAACCATATATTACTGTTAAAATTTGAGAGAGAATTGCTAACAGATCAGGTTTGTCACAAAAGCCAAGTGTCAAACCTCTACCTCCTGTGTTCCCACATAGCAATTTTGAATCCTTTTATCTTTGAGCGTAAAGTCTTTCATTTTAGGATGGTGCCTGGCATAAAGTGTTCAATAAATAGTAAATAGATTCTCTCTCTTCCATACCCTTTCTTGAAGGAACTCTTGAAGCTCTTGAAGGAACATATTAGTTCTTAGACATGGCCCAAAGAGGACTCAGTGCAACTCTTTTAAAATGCGTTATTATTGACCAAGATAAGAGGAAATAAAAATCATCAAATATATTATCTTCCCAGGCTGGTTAGAAATGTCTTTTGGTAGGATTCTGAAGCAGAAGGAGGCAATGATGAGATTTTGATTTCTTGACTTCAAGTTGACTTCAAGGTACAGAATATTTCACCTAAGACTTGCCATACCAGGCCCATCAAGAACAGGAAATGTGATTAGAATCTACCAGTCTTGTACCCAAGGATATGAGTGGGCAAGTCAAGGGAGGATATCTATTTCACTTGCCACCTATGCTTTGTTGCAGAAGGGAAAAAAACAGGCTAAAGAGCTTGGAGCTTTAGAGAAAATTTTAGGTCTCTGGATTTAAGGTATGTTTATTTTTAACTGCTACTTTAAAACATTCAAAGAAAACATAGTTGACCAGATTTAAGTCCTTTTACTATAAAAAAAGATTTCATTTAAAGGGGAAAAGTACAGAGCAGATAATAATCAGGAACAATTTAGCCTCTATGGGCAAGAAAAGTTGATAGCTGTTTTGCTAAACTGCCTTGGCAGTCCTTTTCTCCCACTAACCTATAAAAATTTCATGAAGACACAGACTATGTTATCCTGAGGCCCACAGACCTAGCCCTTCCCAGCATCTAGCAGGCTTTCCAGGCACACAACAGGCACTCGGCAAATAGTTGACTCCATAAGAAGACACTCTAGGCAGGGCAGTTTGGTTCACTTACGTCTCATCAAACAGGGGTTCCAGGGTCTTCCGTTTTACTGAGGTCTTCTTACGACTTGCCCACCTCCTTTCTGGTAACAAGTAGATGCGGACATAGGGATCAGCTCCACTGCTGGTACAGGGTGTCAGGTTTCTGATGTGGTTTCAAAGACATTAAAGAAGAAAGTTCAGAAACACTGAAAGGACTCTTGGAGAAGGCTCTACTAGCCATTAAGCTTTAGATGGCTTTGAGGAAAAAATGCCTTGTAGTCTAAATGACCAAAAAGCAAAAGTCTGCAGAATTTAGAACACAAAGCATCAATGCAGGATTTTGAAAACATGTGTTTTTTAAAGTCTGGAGTAGAGCAAGTACTTCCCATCTAAAGGAAGTTGGAGATTCTTACTTAAGAAAAGGTACTGGCTCCAAGTCACCCCAGTTTTTGCAGTGGCTATATTTAAACAAAGCCCTTGGCTCTGGAGTCCTCGGCATCATTGAGGACCTTGTCATTCATACCATGCAGCCTTCAAACCTCAGTTCTTCCTAGTGTATTATTTGTCTCAGGGACGCCCATCCCTACCATTACTTCAGGCAACTCCACTCTTTTGTTCACCTGATGCTCCCAGCGGAGCATTTCCCTGGCCCAGCACCCCATTACCTGCAGCCATTGATGAGCACACTGAGGCAGCGCCGCAGACACACATAACGCACTGTGAGCTGAATCTCACCCAGCCTCCACTGCCTGAGATCCCCGCCTCTGTAAAGAAAGAACTTGTCACTTCCCTGCCATTATAGCTGTTGGCTTCTCCCCCAGACCCTAAGACAGAAGCATGTCCTGCTTTAGGAACATAGAGCCATGTAGGTTAATAATTCTCAGTAAGGTCCTTTCTGTCAGAAGTCAGTCCCATCCACTCACATGCTAATTATCCTACTTCACAGTAGGAAGAACATGAACCCTGGAGTGGGATCTGTCTTTATACCATGACTTCCTGTGGGACCTTGGCTGAGTTACTTGACCTTTATGATATCATAGGGTAATTGTGAAGATGGAGTTAAATAACATGTTAAGCTCACAGTTAACAATAAACGGCAGTCATTGATGACCTATTTCTACATTCTAAGCTTTCCATATCATCCCAGTACACTTGAGAATTCAGGAAATGTCTCTGTGGGAAGGAACCTTAATATCCAAAGCCCAGCACCTGTTTTACAACTGGAATGCGTTTGCTTTCTCTCCCCTTTGCCCTTTGTTTCTAGCATATACCACGCTGCCTCTCATGAAGCCACTTTGTGAAAGAGCAGAACTTGTACAGGAAAGTGAGTTCATATCTACATTTCCATCCAGGAATGGATTTTTTTCACACAGGTCACTTTAACCCGATTAAGCAGAGGTGCGTACTCAATGTTGAAGCTGATCTCTGTCAGATCAAAGCAGGAGGAGGCCAGGGAGTTGAGTGAGGACATGCTGGGAGCTAGCCTCTTGGGCGGCCATGCGAGTGGGGAGGCAGGGCATTTCATGGGCCTGGGTGACTTGATGGGCCCTGGAGAGTGGGGGCCTGGGACAGTCAGGAAGATGGTGGCCGAACTCTTCTTCCCCATGGGCTCACAGAACCCTCTGGCACTGTCCTTGCCTTTGGGCTCTGGGCCTGTGTCTTGGGGTGTGGGCTCGGTGGCAACAATAGTGGCACTGGTGGTTGTCGTGGTGCTCTTGGAGGCTTCTTTGGTATCAGAAGCAGGATCTGGGGGGCATGGCAAATTTGCAGGGCACTCTCCCTGGGATGGGGCTTTGGGGTTCTGGTTGGTGTCCACCTTCTTAATGAACAGAGGACCTTTCTTTAGGGCTTCAGGTCCTGTGTATGGGCTCCCCATCTCTCGTTCTTCCACGCGCAGGAACTGCAAGCAGATGACAGGGTTATGGGCTGGGGCCCCCCACATCCACTTTCTCCTCCTCTGCTCTCATCTTAACCTCTGGGAAATGGTTCCTTCCTGACTGCCCATCTCAATGGATTTCTCCCTCCAGACCATATCTTCATTAACTTCTGTCCACCCTTGGGTCCCTATAACCAATTATTCTCTTTTTCCCTCACTACTGTCTCACTAGTGAGTCTTCATGAGGATTCAGTCCTGCCTCCACTCACACTGGCTAGCGGAGACCTGACTCATTTTTTTTTTAAGATTTTATTTTTATTTATTCATGAGAGACAGAGAGAGAGGCAGAGACATAGGAAGAGGGAGAAGTGGGCTCCTTGTCCATGCAAGAAGTCCAATGTGGGACTCGAACCTGGGAATCCAGGATCACGCCCTGAGCCAAAGCTCAACCACTGAGCCACCCAGGCGTCCCAGACCTGACTCATTCTTACAGCATGTATGGTCCCTCCATGCAGCTAACTCCCAGATCTACACCTCCACTCCTGCACTCCTCTTACCCTTCACATATATCACACACTGCCTTCCAGGTAGGGTCCTTTCCAGCTGTTACCCTATTCACCATTGCTTTCCCTAAAATGTGTTTCCTGTCCACACACACCCCTGTGATTCTACCCCCAAAGTTTCAAACCTTGGCCATAATGTTTCTCCTCCCTCAGTCATTAAGGCCATTTCTAGGGACTTCCATTTCTAGCACGGTGGTGGTCAATATTCTGAAAAGCCTCATTAGGAATGCCTAATAAAATGAAACACCTTGTAAATACATAGCCAAATTTACAAAAAACTAAAACTCCTAGGATTACTGAAAAATAAAGGCTAAGCTTTCCTAGAGTCATTTATCAACCTTGAAAACTTCAAGCAGTAAGGAGAAGAGGCCTCAGGTCAACAATGTAAGGCTGGGAGTAGGAACCATGAAGGTAGGTAGGGTCTCTTTAGGGAAAATAGTAATCTAGGATAAACATTCCAAACCCACCCCTCCCTCCCCTTCCAGGAAAGATGCTAAGAAATAGGGCTGTTTCCACCATACTCTCCTGGGGGACCTGAAGACTTTTCTGAGAATATGGCACCTTACAGGACTATCTTATATGAATTTTGGTTCATATTTATACTTGTGTGATCTTGAAACCTAAAATTTAAAAATTAACATAAGAATGGACCCTAGTTTGTAATGCCCCCAAGTGCTTGGTTATGGCAAAACAGAACCTCCCTGGAAGCAAGCAAACTCAACATGTTTGCAACTCAAGTTACCAAACATAGAAATGAGTCACCCTGAAAACACATCAACAGATACAACAAACATCAAAATCTAACTCTCGAGATCTTCAGATAATAGAATTCACACACACACATAGGTATTTTCAGATGATTAAAGATGGAATAGAAACATGATAATAAAATACAGTGAAAAAGAAAAAAATAAAATAAAATACAGTGAAAAAACTGGATTTGGAAAAGATAAAATTGGAAATAAAAATAGCTTTTGAAAAAAAACCATGACTAGGTAAAGAATTAGTAGTCTAGAAGACAGATCTGAGGAAATCAGAAATGTGGCACCAAGAGATAAAGAAATAGAAAATATGAAAGTGAGGTCAGGTGGAGACAGGAGATGGTGAGAAGGTCCAGTGTAGGAGTTCTAGAAGGAAGGATTAAAAGAATGGGAGAGACAGTATCTGAAGAGATAAGGGCTGACAATATTCCAAAGTTGATGAAAAATATGAACTTATTTCCTAACTGCTTCTCAGCACAGAGCAGTTACTTAGCGCTGGGAGAGCCCACTTTGTTCCATGGCCAGAGCTCCACCCCTCACCCACCCTGGGGAACCAAAGGAAGCATTTACCCGAAGCACGAGTCTCATGGAGATGAGGCTGTCTAGGCCTGAGTGGTCCAGCTGGAAGCGCTGCTCGAGGGTGAGGTCTGTGTAGGGGAGGATCTGGCACAGGGGGATCTCCAGCACTCCCAGAGCACACTCTTGGGTATCATCAAGTACCTGGGCAGTGGGCCAGTCACAAAACAGGAGAATTAAGCCCCATACCCACCACCACCTCTCTAGGCCCCATTCAAGTCTAAGTTCACTTCAGTAAGCATGTACTGTGCTTCTGTTGGCCTCTGGTCCTGTTCTGAACGCCTGGGACTAGGACCAGGCCCGGCCCCTGTTTGCAGTCAGGGTAGAGGCAGTGTGTCAAGTGCCCTGGGCCATAGAGGCTTAGGGACTGATAGGCTGAGGGCCCCAAAAGATCCCAGTTCTGCTGTTTGTTGTTAAAGATGTCATGACAGAGTCCTTGATGGAGCCTCTATTTGCTCATGTGTAAAATAAAGGAAGTATCTCTTTTCCACAGATCTTTTGTGAAGATTAAATTATTTTTTAAAGAGGTACATCATCATTAAGGCCCTGGGAGGATTCCAACACAGGCCACTCTGGGTGCTATATAACTGGAAAAACTCCTGCAGGAAGGGTTTGTCCTTCCACAGCCTCTTGCTCATTGCCTCATGAAGATGTGGGGCCTCTGCATCCTCTCCCACACACAAGGGGCTGACTTGACTGCTCAGAGAACCTGGTGCATTTCAAGTTCCCCGCCCCTCCTGGCTGAGATACTTCTTAGCTTTGTCCCAAGAACGCAACTCCAGACAAACCTTCAGATGCAGCTCCTCAGCTGCCACATTGTACACAAAGAAGGAGAACATCTGGCTCCACACTGGATCCTTGCTGTGGGGACAGGTCTGGGGATAGAAGAGAGATCGCTGAAGGGTCAGCAGGATACCGGCACCCTCTCCTTTCATCTGGCCACCCACCAGCACTGGGAGCCTGCTCAGCCCCTGCTCAGCCCCTGCTCAGTCCTTCATCAGTGTGTGTCAGACCCGCACACACTAGGACTTATGGGAGGCATTAGGGCAGGGCAGCCAGACTCCAAGGCAAGGAGCTCCCTCAGGACGTTTTGCAGGGGCTGAAAAGCACACCAGCAGCACTAGAGTTCACTTCCAGGGGAGGGGGCCAACCAGAGTTCTGGTTTCTAGAACTGTAGAGCTATTTCGTGAGGTTGCTCTGAAGACAAAGTACCTAGATTGTAACCTGGCACCTAGTAAGCATTAAGCATTCAGTTCTCAGATTCCCTTCCCTTTTCTTCTCTCCTTGAAAAGGGGCGGGGCCCCCATTTCCTTGTCCCATGGCTACACACAAGCTGTCTTACCTTGCTCATCTGTGTCTTCTTGCCTACAGATAGCTTGACATAGGAAGAAGGGTCTCTGCTGACTTTATTCTATGAGGGGCAAATCCACAGCAATGAAAGTGGCACCATCCGCTTGAGACACCACCCCTCACCCCACCTGACCTCCCAACTCCCAGGAGCATCAGTGGGACCTGGAGCCAGCTAATTGCTTCCCTTTGAAAGAAGGCTGATGTGGTGCTCCCAAAGCCTTTGGGCTGCCCAAACTGTGCAAGCACCAGGGTAGGGCTAACCTCAGGAGAGGTTCCAAGTTAATGACAGGAGGCAGGGAGCTGGGCCTGGTTGGGCACAGGCTCTTGTTCCCTGGAGCTATGGAAACAGTCAAATTCTGGCTCTTCCTTTAGCATGTGACCCAGTACTTAACCTCCTAGGTGCTACTTGTAAAATGGCAACAAATGCAGACACGCTCAGCCTGGGACTCAGGCACAGTGAATGTGGGGGGATGAGTTGTAAAGCCCAGTAGTTGGCACACAGCAGACTTGTAGGCTGTGTGTGCACAGATGGTCACCCAGGAGATGGGGCTGTGGTTACTCTGGGGAAAAGGAGCCAGGACTTGCTTTCCCTTACCTTGGTAAACCTGGAGAGTTTTTTGGCTCGATATTCACCATTCAGGTAGTCAAAAGGATTTCTCTATAGCACAATAAGAATAGGATAAATGAATGACATATGGACATTTGCAAATGACAGGCACAAGGCAGGGTATAACACTGGTCATGTCACACTCACCGGCAGGTTGCAGGCACTCTCCAAGAAGACTATGAGGATGGCAGTTGAAAGGCCACCTTGGTCCTACAAGCAGACAGAGACCCTCACTAGGTGCTGCAGCATCAGGAGACACAGACTGGTTTTGGAGAAGCCTATTTATGGCAGAAGGAAGCCAGCCAACCCTTGCACTCCAGACAAGCCCTAAGATTCCGCACCATCTAACTTTTTGTTGAGACCGTGCCTACAACTGCAGCATGACAGATTTAAGTCAGACCCAGCAGTGGACTTCCCCATGAACTGGGCGGACCACCACTAACTTAAGTTTTTAAGGATCCCATCTTCCCTGAGATGCTCAGAGTCTATCTGCTGAGAGATCAGGAGCTGCCCTGTGTGAAAATGAGGCTGAGGGACAGGTTCTGCAGAAGGTGGGGCTGGCTGGAGGATTCTGTGAGTGGGGTCAGGGGGCTTCATCTTCCCCCCTTCCACACAGCTCACACATGGATCAGCCCTGCCACAAGCTCCACCCCCTGCCGCCACCATACCCACACATCTTTCCTTTAGGGAGTGCTGACACCCCACGCTCACCTCAATCAGAGCTTCTGGGTTGGCGATGAGCGAAAGCCACTCTAGCCGCAGGTGCAGCCGCCCACTGGTTGTGTCGTTCAGGACAAACCACTACAGGAGGAGGGAGATGAAAGCTCAGGGAAAGGGCCAGTGAGCTGCTACTGAACCTCTTCAAGCAGTTTGGGTGTAGGGGTGTAGGACCTGGTGGGTCCTTAATAGGGGCTTTAGGGAAAAGGTGATCCAGCCCAGGTGGAGTGGGCTCTGGGCTTGAGGGAAGGAGCAGTGGTCATAGAAGTGCTTCTGTCCTTCTGTGGACAGATGGAAATAAGGATGTCCACAGGGAGGGGTCACAGGCACCAACTGTACCTCATCCACCACTCTGTTCGTCATGACATCCCCGAGGCAGATCTGCAGGCTGGAATACACAGGGCGTCAGCTCAGCTCCAAGGAGGCAAGAAGCGACCCTCGGGACCGGGGAGCCCATGCATCTCAAGGAGCCAACAGTAAACTACTTGCAGCTCAAGTAAGACAGAAGGACTGTCTTACCCTCAGGGCTGCTGCCTGGGCAGACAGGTGGCTCTGAGCCCCAGAGGAGAATGAGCAGACACTGCTGGACACATTGGCTCTAGATTTCTCAGTGATCGTACTAGTGGCGTTTTGAATGGAATGGTTCTTCATTGTGCAAAACTGCCCATGCGTTGCAGGTACTTAGCTTCTCTGTCCTGTGCCCTCTCAATGCCAGTGGCACCACCTCCCACAGTCATTGTAACAACCCCAAATGCTCCTCCGACACTTCCCCAGATGTCCTCCGAGGGACAGGTATACATGTGTGTGCCTCCACCTACCCCGACCCAAGGCCAAACGGAAGATCCTGAGAGCCGCAGGGGACACTGTGTAGTTGTTAGGAATGTGCTCGGGCTCAGAACACACCGGAAATCAGTTACAACATGAACTGTAAGCCACAGTCTAATTTGCAACAAAAACTGCAGTACAAAAACTGCAGCTTTTTCCATTAAGATGAAAGGAAAACATCTGGTGGTGAGCTGTTTCTTCGGCTGTCAGATCACACACACACACACCCCCGCCGCCCAGTTTATTTCTACTTTTAAAAGTACATGTTCATAGAAACAGGCTAAACCATACAGCAGTGTGAAGATTTGGGTAAAACTCTTCTCTGCCTACTAATGCCAAACCCCTGAGATGAGCAGTGAGACGAGCCTGCTGTGTACCTTCCAGGCCCTTCTCTGTGCTCACACAAACACATACTCGAGGGTCCTCCTCGGAGAAATGAATCAAACTGCACCGGCCACTTCCGGTTGCTTTCCCGCCCATACTGGAGTCCTCCAGGTCAATACACATAGATCCTACTAATCATTTTTAAAAGCTGCAGAATATTCTGTAGTTTGGTAACAGCAGATTTATTCAAACATTCAACTAATGTCCCCTGAGGCTGGACTATTCATGTTTCCAGTCTTTCTGTTTTGCCACCACAGTTCTGCTTCTTGCAGAACATTTCAGGTATAATGCTTTGAACTTTACAGAAGATTCCTAGAAGCAGGGCTAATGGGCCAAATGATGTAAATTTGAAGTTTTAACAGCCAGCCCCAGCAAAGCCATTTTAGTCCTCCCACAGCCCTGAGTTTGAGTGCTGCCCCAGAGCAAATGGCTGGGGCTCCTTGGCACTGGGGACCTGGCCATCCATGCCAGCCTGGCCCCTATGACTGCTCCACAAACCTTGGAGTCTTCTGGATCCCCATAGCTCAGCTCAGGGCTGGGCACTCAGGAGACCTCTAGGAAGGCAGTTAGAGGCAGAAATGTGGAACAATGGGGCAGGTTGCCTAACACAGTCACTGTGTCACAGTAGCCAAGCCAGGGTCACAGGTCCCTGAGTGGTGGAAGCAGGGGTGCGTGTCCCAAGACCTAGCCCAAAGCTCCTGGGCCCAGCGCAGCCCTCCTCCTCACCTGCCCAGGAAGTCATCCCTGTCGGGATCCTCATCGTACAGGTCCACCTCTAGGTCCTGCCCAGGGACTTCATACACTACAAACTGGAAGGAAAGACAGGTGACTTGATATGTAGACCAAAACGGCTGATGAAGCAGACCTCAAGCATGACCCAAAGGGAGCCAGATTCCAGCTCCACCACCTGCCATTTCAGCCCACTGGGCAGGTTCCTGCCTTCCAGTGCTTTTGGAGAACCCCATCTTGCAGGGGAGGTTGAGAGGATTTGGGCAGAACTGCCTCTGAGGTTCTTTCTTTGATTTGAAAAATTCCAACAGGGATCCCTGGGTGGCGCAGTGGTTTGGCGCCTGCCTTTGGCTCAGGGCGCGATCCTGGAGACCCGGGATCGAATCCCATGTCGGGCTCCTGGTGCATGGGGCCTGCTTCTCCATCTGCCTGTGTCTCTGCCTCTCTCTCTGTCTCTCTGTGACTATCGTAAATAAATAAAAAAAATTAAAAAAGAAAAAAGAAAAATTCCAACAAAGCTGACTGGTGGAGAAGGCAGGTGGGAATTAATTTATGAAGCTGTCCCTGCAGCAGGGTCACAGCAGCCTCCCCCTGGAAGCCCAGGGGCTATGGGGAAAGGGCCCACGCCTCTGGCCTGGTGTTGCCACACGGGTCTGTGAGGCCCTCCCTTGTTTGGACCCCACATGACCCAGCGTGGAGCCTGGAGGGCATCAAAAGCAGCCAGGAGATCCTCACCTCAAATACCTCATTCCAGGTGGGGTTCAGGTTCTTGTAGATGGTCTTACTCCGGAATTGCTGTAGGCCAATGCTCACCTTGGCGTAGGGGTCTGACTTGCCTCGGATCCCTAGGAAGTTGTCCTTCTGAGCCAGCTTCTCCGCCTCCAGCAAGTGGACTCTGATCACTCCCTGGAAAATGCCCCGGCCCAGGGCTCACAGCTGCTTCCTGGGCTGTGCCAGCCCTCGGGGCCCATAACATGGGGCCAAAGCCATCCATCAGACATCACCCCAGTCCTATCTCACTTTCGCCACAGTCTAGGTGGGAGACAAGCCAGATATGGCACCCTCCTCGCTGAAGCTACGCAGCAAGTGACGTCAGGGCCCGGGGCTCTGTCCAGCGCATCACCGTGCCCTGCCCACATTCCTGGCCTTCCCGACCTTGCCTGCTCCAACCTGCCAGGTGAATGGCTTGTTCAACTGCAGCCATTTACTCCTGTGCCAACGACCACCATCTAAGAAGCTTTCCTCCTGTATTCCCCTTCTCTATAACCTGCATGTAGACCACGATCTAGTCATGAGTGGTGCCCATGACATACGGAGTGACGAGAGCAAGGTGGAGAAAACTAGTTCCTGCCATCCATCAAAGAAGGGGAATATGGACACAATGAGATACGCACCCAACTGTGTATGCATCTGCTCATATTAGAAAATAACGAATAGTGGAAGGATAAACATTACTCGTAGGAGGGTGGGGGAGGTTAGGTGGAGGGGACGAGGGGTAGAAGCCAGACTACTTAAAATAGAATTTGTGTTTATATAGGATTTTGGAAGCTTGCAAATATTTCACATGATGGGTAGAAGGAATTTAGGGTAAAAATTAAGCCCCCCAAATAGAAAATGGAATGAAACAATGTAAATATTCATGGCCAGTTGTCACAAACGCATAGAACTATTCCAAGTGAGTTTAACTCGTAGCAACTCTCCAGTACATCTTGGGGATAGACCCTAAGGGCAGACTGTTTTCAGTAATGGTGATGCAGGTGATGATATCGAAGGGTTTCTGAGACTGCCAAGCGCAGTGTGGGATAAAGCCCACGAGTCGCTATGGGGAGGCTGTGAGGACCCTGTGCTGCCTCCCTAGCCAGCCCAGGCCTCATCTCTGTGTGGTTGGAGTAGACCGATGTCCCCCAGCGCTGATGGTGCAATGGGCATGTGCCCCTCTCCTGAGCCCTGACTGCCCCTCCTGAAGGGCACCTACTGTAGGGAGGCCATGTGTCTGCCTTCAGAGGCCTCCCCAGCAGGGCCCAGGATAGAGGGGGCTGTGGGGCTGAACACACAAGAAGGCTCCACGTCCTGGGCTGACTGAAGATTCTTCCCAGTTCACCGCAGGGATTCTGTCCACCCCCAAATGATGGAGTCATTCCCAGGGTAGGGGTGACTACCCACAGTCCCCAACCCAGGCTGCTAAGGCACCAGGATCCAGGAAGGAATGCCACCTGGATGGGTGCCTTTGGGCAAGCCAGTCAACCTTCCCAAGACTCAGTGTTCACCCAATAAAACGAGGATGCTGTGCTCTCTCAGGTCAGAGACAATCAATGATCACCGTCTTGAGAATGCCTTCCCTCCTCCTGCCTATCTGTCCTTCAGATTGGGGGGTGGGGGTGTCCAGTGCTCTGTGGCCACTGCAGGTACTCACGCAGGGCAGAGGGAAGAGCAGGTTGGTCACATCCAGCCCCTTCTTCACAGGCACGGTCACGCGGTTGGGCAGCACCAGGTGGGTGGCAATGAGGTCCTCCAGCAGGCTGTCCGATATCTCACTGGGGACAGGGGGCACGGCCAGCTGTAAAGGAGCAGGACCACCTCCCCAGGTCACCTGCCCCTCCGCCCAGGGGCAGAGCTTGGTGGGGTGGGCCCTGCCCAGGAGAGAACAGCCCTGACTCTAGCCTGCCTGGCTTGGAGGGATGTGGGATAGACACTTTGACAGCCCCTGACCACCCCCTTCCCAATCCTGCTTTGTTCTCTGAGGCACCATGGCCTGTAGCTAAGAGGGATGACCTGGAGTGAATCTTGGCTCCATCACCCACGAGCCGGGTGAACTTGAGTAAGTTGCTAACCTCTCTGGACCTGTTTCTTCATCTCTAAAGAGAGGACATTAATATTACACCCCCACCCCCAGGGTTGTTACAAGGAGGAGTTAAAATGTGTGAAGTGTAGAGAATAGTGCCTGGTGCACAGCACGAGCCAAGTGTTTGTTCCCGGAGCCTTTCCACTCCTGGACATGCCATCAAAATTCTCCATCCCCCCCGGGTAGAGGAGCAGGACAGTGCCTAGAACAGGACTGGCACACTGTGGGTGCTCAGTAAACATCTGTTGAATAAAACAGTGCACAACTGGATTCTCTGAATGCAGGGGGCCAAGATCCGTGGCCACATCCCCCGTGAAGGAGCCAGAGGTCCTCCCTGTGGGCAGGGGAGGTGCCCGAGCCTGGTAAGCCCACTGGTGCTTGCCCTGGCCAGTCCAACTGTCCCTCCCTCCCAGGGATGTGTCCATGTGGGGCTGGAGCCCTCCTCTGCTCCTCTCAGGGAGCCTGAGGCCCTGCGTGCAGCAGCCCCCACGGCCAGTCCCAGGGATGTGGAATTCCCCAGACCAGCTTCTCTTCACTGGCCTCTACTGCGACAGCTGCCCCCTGTGACCATGGAAAGGGCAGGCCAAGTGGCTTGTCACCACATACTTGGGTCGGGGAGGGGGAGGAGTGCAGATGAAAGGAGGACATCGCGTGACTCCACACCCACTGTGCCACCGCACACACCTACCTGTTGTTCCAGGAACCGCAACATAGAGGAACCGGGCTCCCCCTTCACTGAGGAAGAGCCCAGAGGGGTAAAGTAAACGTTCTGAAACCACATAGCTGTGGAGCGACCAACCGAGCAGGAGCCTGGTCTGGCTGGATCCGGTTCCAGAGCCTGCGCTCTGACCTCACCTCTGGCCGGTGTGTGCCCGGGCGTTTGAGCATGTGCGCGTGTTCGGGGCACAGCGCCTGCCGCAACACTGTTAGCCTCCTGCTCCCACTCCAAACTCACCACCGCTTTTCCCTCGGGAGCAGGGACAGCGTGGTACAGGCCCCTCTCCTCATGCAGAAAACGGGGAGCCCCACTCTGGGGTCCCGCCTGGCAGCCCTCACAGTGCACTTACTTGATTCCCGGTGCATCCAACAGGTTGGTCAGGCCTGTCCAGTTGATCTGCAGATGCTGCAGGGGCGGAGGGAGGCTGTTAGACTCTAGGGGCCAGATGCCCAAGGCCAAGGGCCCTCTGCCAAGTGCCTGGAGCCCACCCGCATGGAGAACCCCGCCTGCTGTGGGGCACCTCAGCAGGGGTGTCACCTCTGAGTCTGGGGCTGTCGGACCTGCTGCTTCCCTGCTGGGACCACACAGGAGTGGACCAGTGCACATGGCCACAGGCCAGCCTGGGCCGAGAGGTCTGAGTTACAGACTCCTCTCCACCTCAGACCCCCTGTGTGACCTCGTTTCCTGCTCTTGGGGGACACAGAGAGTCGAGCACCCCCAGCTACTTGAGATGATGGGACACGAGGAGTGTGGAGCACCCAGGTCTGGGCTGGTTCAAGCAGTGCCACTCCGGGACTGAACTAGCGCTTGGGGCCGTACAGGGAAACACAGGCCTGCGTCTCTTTGGGACTTACCGGCTTTTGAAGGAAGAACACGGTCACGGCTCCCACGAAGGGCTTGTCCACCAGGAGGGGCTCCAGGATGACCCGCAGCGTGCCCTGCAACTGGATGGGCACACAGGACCTCAGCCTGCCTTTTCCCTGCACCCGCTGCGCTCGGCCGAGGCCACTGCTGCCTTGTTCATGCCCATGCCACCCCTAAATGTCAGGGCCACCTGCTGTTGTGACAGGGACTGCACTCGGGGAACAGAAGCCAGCGCACAGCTGCCACCCGTCTGCTGGCTACCGGGGGCCGGGGCTGGGGGCTGGCCACCCCTGCCGTCCACTGGTGCACTGCCGCAGAGGCCCGCAGCCCTGCCCGCATCTCAGGCCGGCCCAGCCTGCTACTCCTCTACCGCAAGATGCTCCCGCCCCCTCTATCCACTGCGTTTTCTAAGCACTGGTTGTGCATCACCCCATAAGCAGAGCCTCCGCCTTCCCGGGGCAGCTAATGTCTCCTTGGGGGGGACCTTACAAACAGAGGCAGGTGTGGGGCCACGGGGCCAAGCCGAGGCCCGGTAAAGGCTAGTCACTGCTTTCTGGCCATGTGACCCAGGCCTGGAGTCCGGTGATCGTTACCAGCCTGTGTGTAGTATCATCACCTTTTCTGCAGCCTCCTCCAGCCTGAGCCCGCTTCCCCCTGCCCAGCCTCCCACCGCAGGGGCAGGAGCAGCGTGGGCGGTGGGTGGAGGGGGAGCCCGTGCCACCAGCTCCCACGTACCTGAATCCCGTTCACGCCAGCCTGTATCTTCTGCAGCTCCGCACTGATCTCGCAGTCCCCGATGTAGCTGAAAGCAGGGAGGGAGAAGGAAGGCCGGGGGCAGGGGCAGGTCCACCACTGAGAGAGACCAGGAACTTGCCCAGGGCCACACAGCCGGCCACCACGCCCTGCAGCACCTGGCCATGGCTCCCAGAAGCCTCGGCCTTCCGCAGGTCTGCACAAACGCTGACCTAGGCCAGGCCCCAGAGGCCGCCCCCCGGGGCCCGGGGCCCCGTGCCCAGTGTCCGCGCACATCCTCTGCCTGCAGGGCAGGGACTCTGGGCACTACTTTGCCCCGCGACACCCCACACAGCTGAAGCAGGGGCTCTTGACGCACGTGCCGCCCACCCCTCTGCCACTGCCCCGTCTCTGCTTAGGTCTCTTCCCCAAGGACACAGGATCTAGCTGGTGGCTTGCACCAAGTGACGGGCACAGGGAGCCCAGAATGGGTGCCTCTGGGGGTAAAGATCGTGAGACCCTGTCACAGGACTGAAGGAGAAGACGAAGCGGAGAGGCAGGGCAGCCTCCAAATACCTGCAGGATGTCACAGAAAGGGTGGGTCCCTCTGGAAGTGGGGCAACCTAGGGACCCCAGGGCAGCCAGAGCTGGGGAGAAGCGAAGCAGGTGCCAGATGGCCCTGATGTGCCTCAGTGGTCATACCAGGATCCTGTGGCAGAGCTGGAGAGCCCAGGTCACCATCATCCCAACATATCCCCCAGATGGGGACAGGTGTTCCCAGAGTTGGCTCCTATCTACCCGATACGCTCTCAGTGCCAGCCCCTGGGCTAAGGACAGGAAATGAGACACTGGGGAGGAATGCAACATTCTCGAACTTCCACAGTTGATCCTTAGTCCTTTTTTTTTTTTTTAAGATTTTTAAAATGTATTTATTCAGGAGAGACAGAGAGAGAGGCGCAGGGACAGGCAGAGGGAGAAGCAGGCTCCATGCAGGGAGCCCAACACGGGACTCGATCCTGGGTCTCCAGGATCAGGCTCTGGGCTGAAGGCAGCGCTAAACTGCTGAGCCACCCAGCCTGCCCACCTTTTTTTTTTTTTTTTAAAGATTTATTTATTTTAGAGAGAGAGCACAAGCGAGTGCATGGGGGAGGGGCAGAATGAGAGAACCATCAAGCATTGTCCCCAGTGAGCTCAGAGCCCCAGGCAAGCCGGACCCTACATCCAGGAGATCATAACCTGAGCTGAAACAGAGACAGACACTCGACTGAGCCACCCAGGCGTCCCTTGGTGGGTGGATCCCTTAAAGGATCCTTGGTCCATTAAAGCACAAGTCAAATCTCTCCACCTCCAGGAAGACTTCCTGGATTGAATGTCCCTTCTCTCAGACTCAAGCTGGCTACAAACATCATTCAAAAGAGGTAGCTTCGCCCAACCCACTGAGCCAGTCACTCACGTGTGTTTGCCTCCCTGTTTTCCTGGGGAGCCACAGAGTCCGGTTCTCCCACGGATCTCTCACAGCCCGTGCTCAGAGCTCCCTGGGCCTTACCATGAGTCCCCACATCTTCTTGCCATACTTGCTCCCTCTTTCTACATCCTCTGTAAGGCAGCCGGTGTGAGCCTCCAGCTGACTAGCCCTGACCTCCAAGAAAGCTCTGCTGCCTGGGCCTGGGTACCAGAGCATTCTCCTGTGGGAGAAGCTAAGCCTGAGCTGAGGGGTCAGACAGCAGTGGCTTCCCGGAGACCATCCATTCTGATATCGTTCCCTGTCCCAAGCAGGGACCTTGTGTTCCAGCCCAGGGCACTGTGTGCTGTGAGGCGCCTTCACACCCCAAGTTAGAATGTAAATATGCTACTCCATCTTCAAACCACCCGTTCTCACGCAGTGTTCCCGGGTCCCCTACACCTGGTTCGCATAGGGAAGAGGGCTCACCAAATCTGTAGGTCCAGGACCACCTGTCTTCGGTTGCGCTTGTTAGTGTGCGCCTTGACACCGTTGACCCTGGGGCACTGGAAGAGATGCCAGAGGGAGAGGTCAGCAGGGATCTTACAGCAATGGATGGCTGCTGGGCCCACGCCCAGCACGGGGCTTTGTCCACAACAACTGATCACTCCACTCCTGGCATGAGGCACCGAGAAATTCAGGCTGCAGCCCGTCTGTCCTTGGAACCATGGTACTTCCCCCTTCGAATGTGCACCCTTCCTTCTCTCTCTCCTACCACAGATGTTTCCAGAGCACCTGCTGTGTGCCAGGCGTTGGACTGGGGAGAAGACCAGGAGTGAGACAGGCTGAGCCTGCCCTCATGGGTTGGAAGCCCCGCAGAGGAGACAATGGTGGGGGAGGGCACAGTGAAGTGCAGTCCCAGCTGTCACATGGGGATCAGGGGACTTCAGGAGCACCTCTCTTCGGATAGATGAGGTTAGTGAAAGCTTCTGGAGGAGGAGGCATTTAAATAGCCCTGGCACATGAGTAGGATTTGGCTCCCCAAGGGCAAGACAAGAAGGCAGGGTCCCCAGCTGAGGGTTCTGACCCTAGAAATTAAAGTGCCTCACACTAGGGCCAGGCCATAGTCTCCCACCTCTGGGGCCGAGGGCTGAGCTCCTAAGTTCTCTTCCCTACCCCACTCCTCTCTTTACCTCCTCTCAGGAGGTTATTGGGCATTGGAGTGGGCTCTGGTTATTATTTATCAAAAACAAAAAAATAAGTATCATTTGAATTTCAGTTCTATGCATGCCAAAGTAGTTAGGGGCGAAGTTCACTAATGTCTGTAATCTGGCTTAAAATGCATTAAAAAAAAATGAGAAAAAAAAAAACAGATGTGTGGATACGTGCTAAAGCAAATATAGCAAAAAGTTAGTGGTTGTACAATCCAGAGGGTTCGCTGCATAATGCTCTCACATTTTCTGTATGTTTGAGATTTTTCACAGTGAAGTGTTGGAGGAAAAAAACTCAATCAACCGTACTAGCGAAGATCCCATTATCTTTCTATTCCCTCCTTAGAAAGTGACATTTCCAAATGCACCGTCACATGAAAAGCTTATCAAAGAGCACGGAGCCAAAAACGCAGGATAAAATGTATCATAGGGACAACTTGAGCAGTTAATTAAAATCATCACGTAGTTTTTCCAGGTTGTGGTATGTGTGATATGTCAACTTTTTAAATGTATAACTCACTGTGGTTTATTTTCCTGTACCTTCTCATATTTATTTAATATTCATTTTTCTCCTGATTTTACATTTTTATGTTCTTTTTCTTTAAGAGGGTCCCCCAAAATTGTAGGAGCTTCAAGCTGCACAGCACCTGGCTCCACCCTGGCCTCCGGGGTCTTGCTGCTAAAGACCCAGCAAAGCCAGTGGAAGCCTAGGGAGGGGAGTGGGGTGCTGTAAGGGGCCCCCACAGCCTAGAGTCACCACTAGGCCCAAGGGATGGCTTCCCAGCAGCACCACATCCCACAGGCATCAGGCTCGGCCATAAACACAGCCGTCCGCCTGCTCCTTGGCTCTGGGCCTGCTCAGTCCTTCAAATGCCAGCTCAGACATCGCCTGCTTCCAGCAGTCCTCCCTGACTACTGCAGCTGCCCCCGTGCCCCTGTGCCCCTGGGTGCTCACACTCCTCCACTGCTGTGAGTACACGGCCATGTGCTGGGCCACAAGGTCATGTGTCTGTCTCCATAACAGGACAGTGCCCCTCCTTTTGGAGGGGCAAAGTGACCCTCCCTGTGCAGGGCCAGTCACACTCCTTTCTGTCTGTGGTGCCTCGCACTCAGCCACGCTCCGTGAGTCTGCATGAATGAAGCAGGGACTGTACAACGAAAGAGCAGGTGCTGAGACAAACCAGTCCTGGTTGAGTTTGAGACGCATAAGCCGGGATCTCCAGGGGTCAGGCCTGTCTGCTCCACGCCCGCTCAGGTGGCTAGCAGGGCAGAGGTGGGCACATGCTCCGGGGCAGGCCGGCCTATGCTCTGACACCTGCCTGTCCCACACCAGACCAGATGCCAGTGCCCACAAAGTGATGAACATCATAGCAGTTCTGAGGGATGCATTTCTTTTTAAGTAAACTCTATGACCAACTTGAGGCTCAAACCCACAACCCTGAGATCAAGAGTCATATGCTCTATCAACTGAGCCCAATGGCCAGGCACTCCTGGGGGAGGAATTTTCAAATGACAAAAATAAGACTCACATCAGTGGGGCACTTGGGGGCAGCAGGAGTGGGGCAAGAGGGTGGAAGAAGAGGCTGTCAAGATAGGGACACGATGTCAGGAATGTCAAATGTGAACCTCCTCTATCCTAGGTCACCTATTAGCTTCACAGAACTAGTGTTGGGCTTGTAACGCTAACTGACACAATCGGCCAGCTGGTAGAGAGTTAGCCCCTGCTTTGAGGCACCACCTCACCTGGGAAGGTGTGATCTTCGGAGCTGGTGCCTCAGCAAGCACGACTTATACATCCCTCTCTCTGGCTGGCTTCGACAACAGGGCATGTTTTCAGAATTTGGCTTAAGAAATGCAGACTTATTTCCCACCTTTCCTTTTTGTTGTCTCTGAACCAGGCTTCCTTTAACCTGCAGAGATGGCGATGCTGGGACTCAGGGGTGAGGGGTCTCCACTGAGGCTGGGAGGCTGAAAAGTGCAGGTGGGGGCCGGGCCTCTGGGGAGGTCCCCTGGGATATTCCGGGTCAGGTGCGTGACCTGAGGCAGGGTCTGCAAAGTAGAGACAGGCTGCCCCTCCTGAGACATCACCCACCTTTTGTCCAAAGTAGAGCTTGGTGAACGTGAAGGTCCTCAGGTGGCTGCTCTTCTCTCGGATCTTGGGCTCGAGCTTTTCCCGGAACTTGTTTTCCATGATCATGCTCAGGTAGGGCCAGATCTGAGAGATGATCTGTGATGACGAGAGGAGGCCCTTGGGGATCAGGTCTGTTTCCCCCACCCAAGACCCAGGGCTGCCCAGGACAACCTGGCCCCGGGACCTTACACTGTAGCACCCCCAGGCCTGCCTGCCCACCCACCTACCATCTATCCGTCCATCTGTCCATCAAACATCCCGTAACTAAAGCAGCGGTTCTCACACTTGCCCAGGCAATGCGTCTTGTTGCTGTTTTGCAGAGCACCATGAGTCACTAAACCTAGTATCACGAACCTTTTGGTTCTGTGCTAAAACATAAGCTATCCGAGCAAACACTGTGGTGTCATCAAGAAGTAGCAGGTGCCAGAGGCTTAGGGAAAAAAAAGTCACAGAAGACAAAGTTAATTTGTTTTCTGTGAATTTATTTTTTTTCTAGCAATCAGAAAAGGCTGCCTTTGGCCGATCTCTGCAGCAGAGCAACTCCTAGCCCGGATCTGGGAAGCAGGCAGAGAAGGGTAGGGAGGGAGCAGCAGGGCTGACACGTTCCTCTTCCTTCTCTTGGACTCTGTAAACACAGATGCCCCTCGCGGTCGCCAGACCCATTATCAGGGGAGCCTGAGGCAGTGGGATTACAGGCCTCTACTGCCCCCATCTCTCTCGGGGCCCCTTTAGGAGCTGGTCCCATCTTCCTCACTCGCTGCTGTGTGGGCTGCCCAACGGGTCTCAGGCACGAGGTTTTTCGGAGCACACTTGGTGCCCCAGTGTGTGGTTTGTCTACACAGCTGAGGACGGGAGCCTCATCCCCAGTCACACATCCCCAACGCCTTGTGTAGGGATAGTGTGTGTCAGTTCAAGAAAGAAGGGTGTAACACACGGGGGTACCCATGAACTAGTGGACACACAGGGAAGAAGAACTCTACTTTGGGGGCTCAGAACAAGGTCTGTCCCAGGGGACCTGGGCCCTGCGTTAATCCACAGAAATCCAGCCACTCCTCTGAAAGGAACCATCCCCTTCCAACTTCTACCTGCAGGCTGGGAACAGTCTTGACCCACACGGCAATGACATTTCTGGTAACACAAGACTATCAGCCTTGGCTCGAAAACCATCAGGAAGTCCTTTTTTATACCTAAACTGAAGTCACTCCTGCTACGGGCTGTTCTAACCAGAACAAAGGCAAGGTTTGTCCTAGAAAAAGGTACTGAATCAGGATACTTGAGAGGGTGGGAGGATATATGAGCCTTCATGTCTAGGAGACAGGTTTGGGCTCATCAGGTAGGGGCCAGACTCTGCTTCCTCGTCTATAAGAAAGGGCCAGACCTGGACTCACAGAGCCGGGCCCTCCCTGAGGCATCGGGCAGCAGGCGCACGGGGGATCTGCGCATGAGCTAACAGCAGTCAGAGGGATGACGACAGTGACCCTGACATCCCAGGCATCATGGTGCTCTCATGACCTCATGAGTCCTCACAACCTCACCCCGCAGCGACCATCATTACTCCCACTGCACAGACGAGGGAACCGCTCGGAGAGGTTAGGCAGCCGAGTCAGGGCTGGCCCCCGGGATAGGCCCCCCTCTCCCTGGGAAGTGCTGAACTTGGCCTCCTGGGGGGCTGCGTTTTGCTCAATCCTTCTATTTTCTAACATTTCTGCTATGACTGTCATTAATTTCAGACTGAAAAAAAGGGTGTTGTTGTTGTTGTTGTTGCATGTGTGTGTGTTTAAAGAAAGTCATTGGAAATGAGAACCCCGAGGGTGGGAAGGGAACGAGACAGGCAGAAGGGCCATCTCTGCCCCAGCGGGCCTTAGTCCATAGTCGCCTCGCCCCCACCCAATGTGGGGTCACTCAGCCCAGGAGCACCAAGAGGACGGGGCCCAGGAGGCCAGCCCCAGCAGGCCCACCACAGCCTTACCTTGTTGGCCCACTCGACCCGCTCCACATCCGGGAAGTGGATCTAGGGAAGAGAAGCCCTGAAGGTGAGTTAGACTCAACAGCATTCGGCCCCTAAAGACCCAGCAGCGCAGCCCTGGGGTTCCCGCTCCCACCCCACTCACTCCACTCACCCCACCTCTGCTCTGCTTCCCCGCCCTGCTCAGTGCCCACCCGGCACCTGCCAAGAGGCTCAGCCACCCCTGCCCCGGGCACACTGTCAGGTGGGGCAGGCTGCAGGCAACCAGCAACGCACTGCCCACACTGACACCTCGTCCTCCCTCCTCCCAGCTGGGAGGCTTACAGGTGGGCGGTCCTGGACTGCTCCCCACCACCAGCATCCCCACTGCACCGTAGCCCTCAGGCTGGAAGGGTAGGGCTGGAACCCCTCATTTGCTTATGCAAATAAGCCCCACCTTCCCAGTGGAAACCCAGCAGAACCCCCATCCGACTGGCCCAGGGTACCACCCCACTTTGCTCCTTGCCACTTCTGTCCTCCTTATCCTTTTAATGACACAAATAATGACGGCCTCTGGGGAAAAATTAGAAAATCAGGCAAGCAAAAGGAAAGATATTTTATCAGAAAATGCTGAGTGACAACCACCGTTAAGCAGGTTGATGCGTTTCCTTCCAGGCTCGTGGCAGAAACAAGGATATGTAGTTTTCACAGAAATTGAGGTCACAGTGTTTTGTAATCTGCTTTTTTCCACTTAGCAACACGTAGGATTGTGTTGGTTCATGCTGTTTTCATAGGTAACTGGGGAATGGGAGCGCCCCTCCCCAGCAGGCCCCATCCTGTAGTCACATAGGCGAGCTTCCTTCAGGTCACAGCTGCCAGCCACTGTCTGCTGGGCAAGTCCTGCTCCATCCCTGGGTTGGGGGGGTTATCCCCAGGAGAAGTGACAATCCTACTTGCTAACCTTTGCAGGACCGGATTCTGAGGGTTCTTAACCCCTTGCAAGACTCTCAGTCTCTCCCAGTGTCTGCTGAGCTTCTCACAGAACCCCAGCCCAGCCCCCAAGGTTTTCAGGGACAAAGGTGTAAGACAGTACTGGTGCCTGACACAAAACATGGATCAGCAAAATGGTAGCAATGGTCATCTCTGTCGCCAAGTCCTTGGAGCACAAGGCCAACTCAGAATCAGATTCATGGTGGGCATAGGACCTCCCAAGCTCAGGAAAGGAAACGTGTCCATGCAGTTCACACACCTAGTGCACACCAGGCCCTGGGCTAGCTCTGGGGATGCCCTGAAGGCCCAAACATAGACCCTGGCCTAGACCATTGTGCCCAGGAGTATAAAGTAATTTAGTTCCTTTAGGAGCAGTTTTTCTTTTTTATTATTTTTAAAGATTTTATTTACTTATTCATGAAAGACACAGGGAGAGAGAGAGGCAGAGGCAGAGATTCCGGGCAGAGGGAGAAGCAGGCTCCATGCAGGGAGCCAGACGTGGGACTCGATCCGGGGTCTCCAGGATACACCCTGGGCTGAAGGTGGCACTAAACCGCTGAGCCACCCAGGCTGCCCAGTTTTTCTTTTTTTTTTAAGACTTATTTGAGGAGGAGAGAATCCCAAGCAGATTCCCCGCTAAGTGCGGAACCCTAATGCAGGGCTCCATCTCATAACGCTGAGATCATGACTTGAGCCAAAATCAAGAGTGGGTTGCTTAAACGACTGAGCCACCCAGGTGCCCCTTAGGAGCAGTTTTAACAGCCTTGAGAAGTCAGAGAAGCCCAGTGCTTCTGGGACTCCAGGAACACCAAGCCCTCTTCCAGCCTTAGATTCCCCAGTTCTAGATACTGATCCATACTAACTTGAAGAAGCATCTAATATTCCCAGGTGCTACAGGAAAATCACTGCCTGGTTCCCAGAGGGGGAGCTGGCCCAGTCCGCAGGAACAGGAGGGAATAATGGGAAAGGAAACCTTGGGGGCTGTGCGCAGGAACTGGGGACGGCCCATGCGGTTCAGCTGGGGAGAGGCAGCCTATTCGCCACATTCCCTGCTGCTGCCCTGGGTCAGGTCCCAAACTGGTACTGGGCAAATGGAGCGTGAGACCCTTTCATTGGCCCGTATCATAATGGCCAGCACTGAAGTAAAAACTCCTCCATGGGGGGAGGAAAAAGACATCCAGTCCTCTCTACTGGCTCCATTCATCACCATCTTTGACCTCACTTCTTCCAAGCAGCCTCTCCTGATCTCTCAAGTCAGAGATAGGTGTCCCTGTTAGGTGTCTGCTGGTTCTCCACTGCGGCATTGAATACACCTCATTAGAGCCACTTGGTCTTACTGCCAGCCTCCTTACTAGACTGGAAGCTCGAGGGGGCTGACTCAGACTTGTTCCCTATTAGTCCCTGTCCCTGGCATATGAATGTCTTAATAAATATTTGTGGAATGAATGAATGCATAAATGAATGCAAGCTTCTTGCCTTCACACAGCTCCTAGGCTGGTAAAGGAAGCAGGCAATTAATGGACCATTGCAGTGCAGGATCAGTACCAAAGTGCAGGGAGTGGGACCCCCACAAAGGAGAAAGGTGGGTTACGGCTGGGCTTTCACTCACACCTTTGCTTCTCTTCTGCTCAAGCCTGCTGGCTGGACCCCTCCGTCTCCTCCTTCCACACTGACCACTGCACTCCCACTTGATGTGTATATCCTTTCTACACCTCCTACCCTCTGCCTCTCCAGGGGAGGTTCTGCATCCCTGGGAGCTGAGTTCTGATCTCCTGCACCCTGGAAAAGCGATCCAGCTTGGCAGGTCCAACCCTGGCCACACTTGGGAGCCAGTCAGACAAAGATTCCTGAGCTGCCTCTCACTCCTACTGAATCAGAGTGTTGCCGGGTGGGGCCTCGCAATTTATTTTTAACAAGCTCCTGGCATGATTCTAGAGTTCCGTCAGGGCTGGTTGTGTGGTATTAATGACCAACCCACTCTTTGCATTAGAGTGGCCCACACTCACCCTGAACGTGTGGACAGGAGCGGAACGCCCAGGGCCCGCACTGGTTTCATGGTCCCTTGGCCAGCCACACTCGTGTTTGAGGCTCCTTGCTAAGAGATTCCTCTAGAGAGCAAGTCTGAATGCCCTGATGAGAGCAGCGATTCAGGCTGAGAAAATAAGGAACCATCAAGTAACCCTGTTCTGCCCTAGGCACCTGCCAGCTCGCCTCGGCCTCAATCTCAGCACCTGTCATGACTCCCCAGTGATACCAAACCCAGAGCCAGGCCATCTTCTCTGTGGCTGCCCCCAGGGTAGGTCCCGGACCAGGGGAGGATGTCAGAGAGCCAGACACTTAGGGAACAGCTACTCAGCCCCAATGCTTCCTCAGTTTGATGGAGACAAATTAGTCATTTTTCCATTATAATTGGACTTTTGAAAAAGTCTTTCCATACTCCAAATTCTCATGTTTTTATCTGCTGACTTTCTATTTTAGCTTTGCACTTAGGTCTTTAATCTGTCTGAAATTTTTTTACAGCAGGTAAGATAGGCATACAGACTCCCACTAAGGCGATTTTCTACTATCACACTAAAAAAAAAAAAGGGGGGGGGCCCGTCTTTCCTCCCAACTTCTGAAGAGCCTTTCCTCACATGTTTCTGTCCAGTGTGTTTCTGGACTTGGTATTGAACTCCATGGTTTTATTGCCTGTTTGTAGGCCAGTGCCACACTGTTCTAATCACTGTGGCTTTGCAACATGACCCTTATAATCTTCAATAACCTTTTTTTTCTTATCTTCATCCTTCTTATTTCTCCTAGGTTTGTCATCACAGGCCAAGCCCTGTGGCACCACACCATGCAGTGGTGGTGACAGCGAGCAGGTCTATCTTGTTCCTGACATCAAATGGAAGTTTTTCCATGAAGCATGATTTTTGCTGTAGATTTTTAGAGGACAGCATTGATCAGATTGAGGAAGTTCTTTTGGAGAGCTAAATTTCTGAGAGCTTTCATTATAAATGGGTATTGAGCTATATTCAGCACTTTCTCAAATCTACTGAGATAATCAGGTTATTTTCCCCTTTCATCCACTAAGGTGGCCAAGTTAACTGATGTTCCTTTATAAAACAAAACTGTCTCTAGTTCGTGGAATAAGCCCCATTTGAAGCAGTTCGTTTAGTTAGCCTGATATCTCATTTAGGATTTATACACTCACAATTCAAAGCGGTACCTACAATTTTTGTTCTTGTACAATTCATATTTAGTTTTGCTACAACGATTTTATAATAAATTGTAAAACTAGTGGGACAGCTTTTCCATATCCTATTTTCTAAATAACCTGTAAATAATAGGAATTTTCTGATCAGTGAAGTTTCTATAAAGACAGCTTTTTGGGGTGGGAAATTACCATTTCTCTCTTTAGTGGTTAATGGTGTATAAAGGTCCACTTATCTCTTATTATGGTAATTTTGGCATTTATATTTTTCTAGAAATGGAACTAGTTCATCTAGGTTTTCAAATGTACTGATATTTATTTATAATATTTTATTATTTTTAATCTGCTTTATCTGTAGTTATCTTTTTCATTCTAAATTTTATTTTCGTCTTTTTCTCTTTATTAATAGATCAAGGATGACAAAGGTTTTGCCCATTGTATTAATCTTTTCAGAGCACTAGCTTTGGTTGTTGTTAATAATTTTCTTTTCCTTTTGCATTCATATTAAAATTTTTGTTCATTTTCACCCTTAATTTTATTATTTCTTTCCCTACTTCTCTGATCTAAAACTGTTGCTCTTTTATGTTCTTAGAATTGAAAATTTTATTTCAGTTTTTGGTTTATGAGAAATTCAAAGTTATAAATTCCCCTATGATTTTTGGCATAGTGTTTTCATCATTATTCAGCTCCCGTTTTTTTTTTTAATTTTCATTATGACTACCTTTGAAACAATGATTTTTTAATAGAATAATTTTAAATAATTAGACATGTGAGATTTCTAAAGCTATGTATTGTTTTCTATTTCTTTATAGTCTGCACAGTCTGTAGGATGGCAATCAATCGGAATATATTGATAATTCCTTTGTGGCCTAGTGCATGATTA